CAGCTATGTCTGAATCATATGATTGTTTCTCTCCTAGCCAAATTTTACACGTAGGGAAAATGGAATCGTTCCAACCTTTATAGCTATTTTGTTTCCAAACCATCAGTAAACAGCCAATTTTGAAGGCAACCAAAACCAACCGACCAACCCCCTTTGTTGTTACATAACCTCAACATCAGTCATTAAATGACAAAAATACATTACGAATAATCTCACGCACGCTAGCCGTGAATCCAACACTGACTCCAAAAGGATTGACATGCACATACCATAACAAGCAAGCACTAACTTTGAAATGTTTGGCTGACTGCCCTTTGTCGTGACGACATCAAGATAACACTGTCACGTTGTACATACGACTTCTCAAAACAAGTTGCCATGTAATCTATGTCCATAGTAGATGAACTATTTTGATACCGAGGACAAAATTAAACACTTCTATAACAAACAAGGGCCTAAGATTTTTTCGTTACTTTCCCATCTAAAAATGTTGAGATTGACATCGTCTGTAGCTGGGCAAAGTCATGACCACAACAAAGAATAGGGAATCGCGTCGTCACGATTCTACCAGACAAACAACCAATTTTCTCAATTTTTCTTTGTCATACACGAACCACACAAAGATGTGCTACCTCTAGTTCAGTGGAGGTAATGATTTCAGTACGAAATTGCGCAGACACACATGCATAACAAGCAAGCACTGCTTGTAAACTTTTTAGTGTTTTGCCAGCGACTGAACCTAGTACAAGTTACAAAGTACTTGACAAAGACTGAAGTTGGACAGTCGAAAATTTGGTTGAGTCCAACTTCTTGTCTTGGAAATTACAGTTTAAATTTGCTTCACAATAAGTTGCCAAATAATATATTTTCATAGGAGATCAAAAGTTTTGAGAACAGTCAGGATCAGTTGAGGCATATCGGGTACAATACTGATTGTGACGAGTTTGGACAATCGCAATAACCTATGATCCCCATTTCAATTGAGGTGATAATTCCAAGCTAGCCGTTGACTCAACAATGGCTCCATGGAAGTTAATACAGATACAAATGCCATAACAATCAAGCAATACATGTAAACTTTGAAATGTTTTGCTAACGGTCTCTAGCCACAGAGTGATGGCATCAAGATAAGTCTGTCACTCTAGCTGAACCCAGCACTTCCTCGAAACAAGTTGCCAAGCAATCTATTTCCATGGTAGATCAAAATATTTTGGCCACAGTCAGGATTAGTTGACGCAATAATTTATGACTAGCCGCGAAGTGGTGCCATTACGATAAGACCGTCACACTGGACACAAGTTGCCACGCATTTATTTCCATGGCAGGTCAAATCATATTTTGACCACAGGACCAATTGACACATATTGGGTAAAATTTTGACCAGTTTGGAGAGTCGCTATATAGTTGATGACTCAAATTTCAGAGATAACCTTCCGAAGTTTTTATCTAGAGATTGACCTATTCAAAGTACCAATGTATTGACCGAAAACAAAATTGAACATTTGCATAACTAACAAGGGCCCAATGATATTAAGACTTTTTCGTTACTTCCCTATATTGTGATTGACATCTTCTCTAGCTGGGCAAAGTCACGACAAAGATCACGTTTACAACAAAGAATCAGGAAACGCGTGCCGTCGCCACGATTTTACGAGGCAACAAAAAACTAATTTTCTCAATTTTTCTTTCTTATCCACAAACCGCACTTAGACGCAATGCCTCTAATTCAATGGAGGTAATGATCTTAGTGTAAGCATTTGCACAGACACATCCACAGCAAGCAAGCACTGCTTGTAAACTTTTGTGTGTTTTGCCAGCCACTGAACCTAGTATAAGTTACCATGTACTTGACAAAGACTGGAGTTGGACAGTCGAATACTTTGATGAGGCCAATTTTGTGTTGGAAATTACAGTTTAACGTTCATAGTGGATCGAAGTATTTTGACCACAGTCAGGATCTAGGATCAGTTGACGACTGATTGTGACGAGTTTGGACAGTCGCAATAACCTATGCCCCAGATAACCTACTCCAATTGAGGTGATAATTCCAAGCTAGCCGTTGACTCAACAATGGCACCATGGTGGTTGATACAGATACAAATGCCATAACAATCAAGCAATACATGTAAACTTTGAAATGTTTTACTAACGGTCGCTAGCCACAGAGTGATGGCATCAAGATAAGTCTGTCACTCTAGCTGAACCCAGCACTTCCTCGAAACAAGTTGCCAAGCAATCTATTTCCATGGTAGATCAAAATATTTTGGCCACAGGACCGATTGACCCATGGCGGGTACAACTAGTGACCAGTTTGGACAATCGCAATAATTTATTACCCAATTCTCAAAGAGAACGCAACAAGACCTTCCGAAGTTTTTATCTAGAGGTTGACCTATTTAAAGTACTAATGTGTTGACCGAAGACAAAATTGCACATTTGTATAACAAACAAGACCTTGAATTAAGTTTGTTTCTTATACACGCATTTTCGTTATTTTGTTTACTTCCGTCTTGTATTGACAAATTAGCAAATAAAATAGCAAGGGACCATGTTGTACTTGTAAATAAACACGGTGGTCGGTTACCAGTATGTTCTTTCCCGTTGCTAGGCGCGTTCCACAAAGTATCGGGTTGCAATTCGCAAACTTTTGGCTAACCGTAAACCATTTGAAAATAAACAAAATAGCATGGAAGGGAAAATTTCGTTAAAATAAAATAAAACAATAGTCTTTACAAACTTTTGATATTGATTTTTACATAAAATGGGTGATTTTTTTAGATTTCGCTCGGAAAGACGATTATTTCCGGGGTTTCTAAGAGCCACATTTTTAGCCGAACATCGTTTAAGATTGGCTACATATATTACCCAAACTTCCCGATTTTTTTTCATATATTTGTCGACGACTAGGAAACGTGAAAACAATCATTCAATCGCAGAAGTATTTTGGTTAGGAGCCATAGTCTGCTAAAATTTCAAATCTTTGACACGTACGCATCGCATGAAACTGTTTACTAAGCAGTACTTTGGACTCCCATCAGCGCGTTCATGATCGAGAGAGGTTCAGAAAATATACTCTCATCTAGGTCACAAGAGAATGTGCAGCAGGCGCAGGTACTCACCACAGTTCGGAGCTGTTCCCAGTTGTCTGTAGGTGCACTCGTACAGATTCTGCTCGTTCCCAAAACACGAGAGGTCGCTCATGCTCACTCTACCCTTGCCGTCCCCGTTCTGATAGCGTACAGTTCCTGTGGCGAATCCCAGGTGTCGGCATGCCACCTGCCAGGTGGCATTTGATATCAAAAATCTAGATTAGACAATGTTATTAACATGAAATTCTTTTCACTGAGCAATTACTGTACGACACGATATACATTACAGACGACCAACTTTCTTTCTAAAAGCATTGTCCAAATCTCACCAGTATTTAGAGCCATGATTTGGGGGCGCAATAATGTTGATCAATTTGCGATTTACCAACATTCTAATTCTCCATAGTAAGGAATGACCCATATTATATTATATTACGCAATATTTCTACTTAGTTATCAATATGCGCTGTCCAACAAACATTGTCACCATCAGCCCGGAAACAGACTTTAAAAACCACAGGTGTCAATAATGAAGTTGGTCTGAAAATTGAACAACATGAAAGGAATGGTTGCCCATGTGGAGATGTAATCCGTGCAGATTTTAAAGTACGTTCTCAGACAATATATGGTTTCCTTAATGAAAAGTTACCTTTGCTTCAGAAACCCTCCAGCCTCCATTATGACACACAGACCCCCACAGTCCGTCATGGCGGATCTCTAGACGGCCCTGGTTCACAGTCGGTCCCACCAATCGCACGTTTGGGTCCCGGGTGATGTTTTGGATCGGATCGTCTGGTGGGTTTTCTTTCCGGTTTAAAACGATGCGTTTGTCGGCGGATCCGATGGCACGAAGTTGTCCGACGACGGTCATGCCGACTCCCTCGTCGAACAAGATTTCAACACCAGCCTCTATAGTGAGCGTCGCATCTTCTCCCACAATGATCTCATGGGTGGCGATGTACGGACTCCCAGATAGAGGAAAGGTATGGTTGCGGTAGTAAGATCCTCCAACCTGAGTGACGTAGACATACACGTATTGGATATTTTGCGCCGCCGCCAGGCAGACCAGAGCCACCAGCAGGTGGACTCCGCACTTCATCCCGAACTTCATTGTTCTGAGTCGGAGGTGTACGGCTGGCGTGGTTTAAATACTAGTAGTCGGGCCAAAACAAATCAATTATTTGTTTTTACTTTGTGTATATGTTTGGAAACCAGCCTACACTGTACAATTCTTAAAGATCCTGCGTTGTAAAAAGAAACTAACTAACCTGAGTGCTTTATTGTGCTATTTTTCCGCGCAAAAGATATTGCTTAGCGCAAAATTTACAACAAGCACCCCGCTTAAGGTTAGTTTTATCGCTATGCACAATCGGTGTTTGCACACAAAAAGCGCCATTACGATTCTCACCTTTGTACTGATGTTAATTAACGTGAGATGCTGGGTGGCTTGTCAACACCTGATTTGAAAATAACTGTATCCAACATACCATAGGTAACGACGTTGCTAGACATACAAACAAGGTATGTTTGTTTACCGTCTATTGTATATCAGCACAATTGTGTCGGTATTCCTGACAACCAAGGTACAAACATACATTCATTCTGGTCGAGGCCAGAAATTATCTTTGAGATTTGTGTATAATTTAACCTCAGTAAGTACCAAGCATCTGTGGCGATAAAATTGAGGAATTTGTATACTTTACAAAGGCGCTTATTTATGTAAACTAATGTGTTTGAGCTCTTTTCTTCAAAATTGGAATCTGACATTGATATGCTCCTTTTTACTGGGCATTAGCATTTGAAGTTACAAACACTCATTGAAGACACACATAGCGAGAGATGTAAAAGTAAGTAGCTTTTAATTTCCAAAGTAAAGAATACATGACTGAGAATCAATTGTGTCCTTGTCGGACATTAAAGCAGTTAAAGCGCTTTAGAATATAAAAACATTTCATAGACATTCTTAATGATATCATATAGCTATTCATCAATCAAAACATAATTTCCATACAATTTAATCAGGAGAATTTTAGAAGCTGAGACGTGTGACATTAGTGTAACCGCACGTGTGATAACACCAAACAAACACGTGTTTACAGTCAGCACAACGGAGACCCCGAGAACTGATGATAAGACCATTCCGTTGAAATTCTGCCAGCCATTTTGCGATTTTGTCCCTCCCTTTACCACCTAAGCACTTTTGCCTCCTGATCGGCATACATGTACCATCATTGCAACACTCTCTACTCGAGTTCAGGAATGCCCTTACAGAATTATACAGTATGAAAGTCTTATAATTCTAACCACGGATAAATTCTGTTGAATTTTTTTATCTTCATTCATTTACATTTAGGATAAGCTAATATTGAGGTCCTTTCTCACCAACAAAGCACGTATGATGTACTTAAATGATCATACATATGATATAAAAGAAATAATTACAAAGAAGATAAAGTGTAATGAAATTCACTAACAGCTACGAGTACATTTGATTTGATTTGCAAGTTTAAGATGCTTTGAGTACACACTTCAAGCTCCTGCGCGGAGCGCCGTTATTCTACTTCACATAGCTACATAAAACACGAAATGCTAAAAGAAAAACTGACCAAGCAAAAAAAAGCCTTAACATCCCACTTGACATTCGACAAAAACACTTGATTATGTCAAGACTGGTTCGGCGGGGTATGACCGGAAGACACGGTTCCTGTAAACCCAAGCTTGGGGCGGATTTAGGCGTTCCTCAAGATCTGGTGTTTCCGCCCGGGGTTCTTCTTCTTCCTCCTCCGGTACGACTTTAGTCTTCCTACGCTTGATGACGTAGACGAGAACAGCCGTCAGAAGTGCCACAGCCGCGACACCTCCCGCTATGGCGCCGATGTACTCCGGCCGCTGGTACCAGCTCAGCTGGGCTGGTATTGCTCCTACAAACGTAGATTCGCTTGGTTATTTCCACAACAGAACAGAAAAATACGTCGCAACTATGGAACATATGTTGATTGTTGACGACGAATGTGTTCAGACAGTCAGCACACCAGGGAGTAGTATCCGTAAACTTAGTATTCGATGGTATTTGAAACAAAACAATACAAGTTTTTGCCTATGATAATACAAGGAAAACTGAGAAGCAAAAATGATAACATGCCACATGTACTAAGAAGGTGTACACAGACATGAGTATTCCTAAATAAGCTTACCAATTGTGGTAGATGCAGTTACTTCTTCAGTTGTCTCAATGGTAGTGCCTGCCTGATCTTGGGCTGTTGTATTGAGGCCTTGGACGGTTGCATTAAGACCTTGGACGGTTGCATTAAGACCCTGGAGGGTTGTTGTAAGCAGACTGTCGTCTGTATGGGGAACGACTGTCGTCTCTGTGGGGAACCATTCTGGCGGGAACGTGACGTTGATTGGAGGCGATGGGTCGTTCGTGATGACAACGTTCACCCGGAGGTCGCAGTCCAATGGCGGTGAGCCAAGGTCCGCAGCTCGCACGGTCAGCGACACGAAGGACATGTTGATGGAAGAATCGTTCAGTGAGGTTGTCAAGTAAAGGTCACCTGTGCTAGGATTCACCTGAAACTCGCTTGACAGGTTACCCTTCCTATCACTGATGCTGTACTGGAGATGGCCAGCTGTTCCAGTGTCGCGGTCCAGTGCTGACACAGTCGTAATGACGTCGCCGGGTTTGCTGAAGCCTGCATAGAGATGTGCGGGGCCGTCTTGTGGCTGGCAGACAGGAGGAGTGTTGGCGCTTATCTGTGTAACAACGGCTCGAACTGTCGCTCTTCGCGATTTAGCTGGGTATCCGCCATCACTCGCCACAACCTCTAGTGGATACGTGCCTATCTCCAAGGCACGTTGTACTTGTATGCGTCCGTTCCTTTCGTCAATGACGAAGAAATCATTCGCTGACGCAAGACTAAATGTCACGTTAGAGAACGATGCAGACGCGTCATGGTCGCTTGCGTTGATGGTGATGACTTCGTGTCCAATAGGAGCGCTCAACACAACATGTACTTCGGACTCTTCAGCTATGCTCAGCGCAGGGATGTTGTCATTGTCGTCTGTAACCGTCATGACAACCGTAGCCGTTCCGGTTAGTGTCGGCGCGCCCCCGTCTATGGCTTCAACGATCAACTCGAACTCTTTGACTCCGATGGCTTCAAAGTCTAGCTCCATTGTTGTGGCAATGTCTGCTGTCCCGGGGACCAAGGTCAGTGCTGTAGTGTTGGTGAGCTCAACCGCTCTGTACTTCACCTCGCCGTTTACGCCGGTGTCGTTGTCAGCCGCTCGCACTGTCGCCACTACCGTTCCAACTGGAGTATTCTCCACGACGTGGATCCTGTAGATGTCTTGGGTAAAGTTGGGACGGTGGATATTTGGCGGGCTTTCCATCTCACACCCGTCTCCCTCGTACCCAGGGTAGCAGACGCAGGTGTCGGGTGCGAGACACGTTCCCCGGCTGGAACAGTTGCTGACCGCAGTGCAGTCTGGGATGGTGCACGCCTCTCCCGACCATGACGTGTGACAGGTGCAGACGTCATAGTCAGTGCACTCTCCGTGCCCTGAAACAGACAGACGTAAACCACAGCACGTTAAAGATCTCATAATTGCACAGATATGAGTCATATGACGCATACGTTTTAATACAGCACTGAAATCTAACTTTATCGTTTAAGACCAATTATATATGTCGGAATGCTACGACTAAGGTTTAGATTTATATCTAATTATAGATTTGCACTTTGTTTTGATTTTGTATTATATTTTGGTTTGGTTTGTAATCCGTGACCCCGCCCTCACCCTCGACCTTGTTGAAAAGCGGTCATTTGTAACCGAACAAGCTTTCGAGTTTAAATAAAGGCTTACTACTACTACTACTACTACTACATAGGGCAGCTTTCGAAACGCGTTTATCATGGGGTTTCAGTAACTTGATTCATTTTTACATAACACAGTAGCCTTACTTCCCCAATCAACAAGGCATTCTTACCTGAGCAGTAGTTGTTTTTCTGGCAGGAGAAGTCGCTACAGTTGACGCCGCCGTACCCCTGGTCACACTCACACAGCAGAGGCTCCACACACACGCCGTGACCTGAACAGTCGTTCCGGCCGGAGCAGTCAGGTCTGCTGCAATCATCCTCGTCATAACCCTTGAAGCACCTGAGTTTTAGGGTAAAGAAAAAAACGATCAAATTGTTCACTTTATCCTTCTTTCTCATATAATATAGCAGTCAATTTCAATACAAACTTATACAATGTATTTCTACTGATTGATTTCTGGCTCATTTTAACATCACCATTACACCTCCTCACTAGAATTCTACCAAAGCAGGCCTGATGTCTATAATGTTATCTATTCAAAAAGTGAGTTGTGTCAGAACTCTTCTCTTGTTGACTCCCGTCATTACTACGGGGGGAAATGTTCAGATTGGGCAAGAGAGACAAGTACCTGCACACATGTGCCCCTGAAGACTCGTTCTTCACACAAATCCCGTTCCCGCTGCAGTTGTTCAGCTCAGGACAGGTCTGTACGAGACTGCAGTCCTTCCCGTCATACCCCGGGTAACAGCGGCACAGGTTGGGCGCGATGCAGTCTCCCTGGCGGGAGCAGTGGTTGACCAACGGGCAGTCAGGCAAGGCGCACGAGCTCCCGGCCCAGCCCCAGTCACAGGCGCACACGTCAATGTCCACGCACAGCCCATGTCCTTTATAACAGCAATAAAGCAACTTAACTAGAGTCTATTGATCAGTTACTTTAACTTTGCATCAGGAGACTTCATCTGCATCAGGCAGTACGTAAAGGCTCTACTACGTCGGGTACATGCCAATGGTTAGGACATTTATATAGTAGGTCCTTAACACATTTTACATCAGCATTTCATGGAATTGAATTATTCTAGTAGCATACGGCCGTAACAAATTTCTCTTACTGTTTTGCTGTATGACGAATTGCTCCCATCAAAGTGCTAGTTTTGTTTGTTACCTGTGCAGTTGTCGAGGTTCTTGCAGGAGAACTTGTCACATTTGTCGCCTGTATAGTCCTCCTCACACAGACACGTGTCGTGATCCACACAGACGCCACGGGAGGTGCAGTTATCAGTCTTGTAACAGGTGGGGACCTGGCTGCAGTCCGATCCTGGAAATATCATTTCATAACCTGTCAAGAATGTTTCGGTTCAGAATGGCTGATGATCCCTTGTCATGTTTACAAATTTTGAAATAGTATATCATTAAGACTCTAAGACATGTATATATTAGGAATGCAATTACCTATATATCCGGGGACGCACGCACATACGTTTGTTTTCACACAGGATCCATGCTGCTCATCGGTACAGTTGTTAACTGCATGGCAAGTTGCTACCAAACATGGAGGGAGAAAAATTAGTTAGTTGGAGTAAGCTAATTAAGTACCACAAATAACAAAGTTATACTAGTCGTTTTCTTATTTTCTTCTTATTGATAATCAGTTTTCAAAATCATTAGAGTTTTACGAAATATGTTCAAATTATGATGATTACGGTATTTGACGGAAAATCTTCTTACTTACCGCGTTGGGAGCAGCTTGTTCCCTCCCATCCCGGCTCGCACTGGCAGAACCCGAGGACGCACTTCCCGTGTTCTTCGGAACAGTCCGTGCAGTTGCCTACGTCACAGTCCGGACCTGACCAGCCCGGCATGCACTCACAAGTGCTGTTCACGCAGCGCCCTCTACCGGAGCACTGGGAAGGACACCCTGTAACAAATAACAACCATTGCGCCGTTGCTTCAATATTAAACAATTAAGAGACAGCACTTAGGATTCCAGTGATATATATGTAATGAGAACCACTAGTCTACGTACCGAGTTTGAAGACTTCCTGTTGTGAGAAGGTCCTGTCGTTTGTAATGGCGACATCAAAAATGCATTCTTCCAGAAGGACACCTGACAGGCCGAGCTGTGCGCATGTCTCTTCTGCCACCTGTGGGGGAACAAATACATCACCTTAACCAGCACGTCGGCAGAACGTACTGCGCCTGCGCAGAACCCCGTATTTTTGCGTTTTTCGTTGGGTTTTTGGTCAACGTTGCATCAGAATTTTGCCTGTTGCAGAGGGTATTCTTTCCGACACAACATTTGGAAACTACTGTCGAAATGCTAACCTTATATGAGCGAATACAACCTTATATGAGACATTCTACCAAAGTGCTATGTACAATACATTACGGGTTTGCGCAGGTGCAGTACGTTCTGCCGACGTGCTACCTTAACCCCTTAGATTAAGCCACCAAAAATCTCGTATTGGGAAAGATGAAGGAAATCGTTGTTAGTTACGACTACACAAGGATAGGGAATTTTTCTATTCCTCAGAATGGAGCTCTAAAAGTCTCACCTTTCGTTGCTCCGGTGTGAGTCCGGCCAAACCTAATGTTGGTTTGTGATTTGGGTCGGTATATGCTCCATCCATGACGTCATCGATGTGGAAGTTGGAAGAGTCCCAGGACCAGGAACCCAGCAGGCCAGAACCGCCGTGCGTGGTGATTATGCGCCCTGTGTGGACATTTGGGGTTTTTTTTTCGAATATGATAAAGGTAGATGTCATGCAGCTTTGTCAAATACTACTTACAATAACATCTTTATATCCCATGATGCAATGTTGTTATCTACGCACTGAAGATGCAAAGTATATGTACAATGACAGAAAGTGTGAGATATAGGGGAAAAGAGAAAAAGTATCAGGAGTTTAGTATACATGACTCAGCGAATGACAGCGCATCCCCCTGCAAGGTTCCGTCCGGTCCCCTGAAGTCGTTGTCCTTGACACCATCCATGTATCCACACAGTCCCTGCGTCTTCTCCTTAAAGGCTGCAGTCGGGCTGAAGATGATGTTCAGGTACTGACGACCCATACTGGGGGAGAACCGGATGTCAAAGGCGACAGATGCTCCTGGACAATTAGAAGTAGAAACAAATCAGAAATGACATGTACCGTGTTCTGGGCCTATGATCATAGAATCGAACACATTGACACAAACTAAATATGTAGCCATGCCTTCTTTAAGTTTAGAGATTGCAAAGCTATAGTTACATGACCTTACCTGATTCAAAGGTGAATGAAAACAGTACCACCTCTCCGGACTGAGACCCTCTGGTTCTCGGGATCTCCACCAGAAGATGGACCGTGCCGTTGTTCAGAACGTACTTCTGTCCCGAGCTGACGGGCTGGAGACTGCCGTCAATCCTGGGTCATAAGAAACAAAAGGTGAAGAAATTTAATATTACCAGAACGTCAAAAACCTATCTACTGTAGAACCAAGTTTCTCGTCCTGCTCAGTAATCAGCATTCTACATGTTGGTACAAAGTACTAAATTTAAAACTTTTTGGAGACTGGAATGTACCTTAAATTCGGCAGGTCGTTCTCAGTCGCGTGTTCCGGTGTTGTTATGGTCACGACGCTGTGTCCGGTCTTCACGGCAGCAGCCCCGATCAGAGAGGCGCCGCTGTACGCGAACATGCGGGTCTGCACGCCGAAGTCGTTTTCTGGACTTTGGCAATCCCAGAACTCTCCGATGCCGTGATAGTCAAATGGAAAACCTGGGAAAAATAATTTGGCATGATACCCCCATCGATCACATGTATGAAAATTCAAAACTAAACATATCCTTGTATTTTATGAAATTGAATGTAAATTATATTATATTATCAGAGGAAGGAGAGTCTCAGGTGAAAAGTATGGACTGATCCATACCATCGAGAGTCTCAAGATGTGGATCTCCTCCTACTGGTCTCGGCATCCTCAGCTCACAACAGTCCCCAAACCACTGAGCGTGACACACACAGGATGATTGACAGCTGTCAGCCGATGACATGCACCGGCCGTTACCACTGCAGTCTTAAAAGAGAAAGATAAAACAACCAATTAATGGTGTTATATTGTTAGGGATGCGATTTTGATGAATGTCAACAGCAGTAGTGTCTCATCCTTGTCCCATTTTTAGAGAAGATTTCCATACTATAAGTTTGACCTCAAAGTTATAATCGTACCTTGACAAGGTCTACAGTCAGGCTGCCTACAGTCCACGCCCATCCTGCCCACCACACATGTAGGCGGAGCCCCGCACTCAGTCTTCTGTGGACACTTACAGCTACAGCCCACCCACACAGGCTCTTCTCCATTCTCACAGTCAGGGCAGCTACGCGGGGCATAAATTAGAGTTAGGAAAACCAGAAAAAAATGCCATTGTTTGAAGACAAATTTTGAAAAAAATATAATTAAAATTTGTTGGTTTTTCGATCAAGCTTCAAAATTCTAATCGTTCACCCAAGTTTACTCCTGAAAATTCTCTTGTAAAAGTCCTAAATACTGTTTTTATATAACATTCCTACATCTGATTCAGTAACCATCTCTTATGACTGGACCACATGTAAGAGTCCTGACCTGTCTGAACACAGACAGCCGTCCGGACCCAGGACGGACTCCTGACAGTTCCTACAGCTGCAGCTGCAGGGGCACCTGCCATCTGCCGCGATGACGTCACTGCTGCCGTCCGCACATTCACAGGAACACTGAAGCACAGAGTAGGTCTGAGTTACAATCAACTCAACGTGAATCCACTATATCCAAAACACTTCAGCCATGCGCTTTTTTACACTTCTCATTCATTCATATGGTGATAATTTGCAGTGCTATAAGCAGCAATCTACTAGTATTGCGATGATGAACAGTGCTTACGTCACATTCCCCATTACCGCCCGGTACCATCTCCCTGGTACTGTTGTCGGCACACAGACACGGGCAGCGGAGCCGGCCTGATTCCGGATCCGGAACCTTCATAGACCCATCCGGACACCGCTCACAGTTACATCCACCTGGGCCGTCCGGATGCTGTACAACACATAACAGCATGTGACGATATGCACATTGCAATTCAGTAGTTGATGCCTCGCATTTCTGTTTAAGCTAGAAAATCTAAGGCGAGAAAACCGGGTAGTGTATAAAGGGTGTTGCTGCGTTGATAAATTAGACTATCAACCAAGAGACTTCTATCTAAAATTTGCAAACTTCAAGATACAATAGTTTCTAAACTAAATGTACTGTGTTCAGCTACTGCGCTGCATGATGTACAGAGTAGGTGATAGACGCATAGATTGAAGAGTTAAGCTTTACCGTGAAACTGACGGTTCCATCTGGGCAGGTACAGGGGCATTGGCAGACGCTGGTGTCGGCAGGATGTGATAAGGAAGCCTCTCCGCCGGGACAGTGACAAACTTTTGCACAGGTGTTGATGTCAGTGGTCTGGGCTGCACAATACCTGGTGACACAATAGAACACGATATTCGCTTGAACCAAATAGACCATTGTCATACCAGAACGCACAAGTAATGCAGCTACAGGTATTCGTCTATCTTATTTGACACTGAGCACAGTATTTTGACAACTTACAGGTCTGAGTCCATCCACGTTCCGTCCCTCCATTCCTTTTCTTCCGAGTGGACCACAGTGAAAAGATCCACCTCAAACCGTCCCTTCAGGTAGTCTAACTGTGACGTCACCCCCACCCGTTGTGGTCGGTCGGCATGTGGACATGCCTGTGAGCATGTCTCTGTGGACGTCCTCAACAGAGCCTTCGCCTCAACAGACGCCGTCATGCGGTAAGGAAATACGTCTTCATTCTCATTACCTGTTGATGAATCATGATAATTCAATTATATAATTAACTTGATATGTCTCGAAAGCTCCCCAGCATAGCTGAAGTTTTGTTGTGTGTATTTGTATAAATATTTTGTCCAAATTGATATGTGTAGTTTGCGTGATGATCGCGATATCTTGTAAGTTGTTGTAACTGGAGGTATGGAGATGTATCTTCATGATATTTAGTAGGTAGGTTGGCGTTGGGACTACAAAGGTCAAAGTCGAATATGGGTATTCTAGCGGCTTTCTTCCAGACTGCAGTGGTATTCACGGGTTTGATATCTCGTCTTCTCGAAATGCTTTTTAGGCGGCAGCTGGGGTACCTGATGTGCATTTGTGGCAAATAACATCACCTACCAAACAGCTGCTGAAGTCCTGCTGTAGCCGTGTCTGCCTCGGTTTCGTCCCGTACAGGCAGGTCCAGGTAAAAGGTGGGCGTGGCCACCATCTCCATGACAACGAACTCATCACTTTCCTGCGCCCCACCTTCGTACGATGTTATGGAGATTCTTGAGGAAGACTGTCGTGCACATATTAAAGACAAATACACACCAGGTCAAAATGCGAAAGATACCATTTACAAGCCGAAGGGGTCATCCTAATATTCACATATTGAATACTACTATTGAACAGAATTGGCAGAAGCTATATCTTTGCAAACATACATCGTTGAACATAAAAAGGCTGTGTTTTGAGTTCTTGAACGAGGGAGAACAATGTATCTCAGTATTCCATTTCCTTTACTACAAACAATGAAATAATAAACTAACCGCCTCCTCATTCTGGTCAAACTGAAACCACTGGCTGCCATCTTGTGGACTCCATCCGGCGAAAGCGTCGATGTCTGGTTTGCTCACCGTCCCGGACATCTTCACAGTTCCAGCTGACTAGAGTTCAGAATATGCCCAAATTAATGCATGGCATGATACATGCAGTACTAGTACTTGTACAATGTTTTAGATAATTAATTCCACTATCATGTTGCTCATAGAGCCACTTTGATGGTCTGCAACATCTACATTGACAAATGTTTGAATTCATAGAAAGTTAAATGTCGTATCAGGAACGTGACATAATATATATACAGAGGAACAGGTCTTACTGATGCATCAAGAGCGTATTCCAGGGAGACTGATGCCCACTTCTCTCCTGGGATGCAGACGTCGTCCATGATACAGGCTCGCACCTTCTCTTTATTGGTTTGTAGCGATAGGCTATCACGGTAAGCAGACCTGAACCTACATAAATGAAATACGCAACTAATTACAATATCACGTTGTTATAACGTTGCATTCATCTATTTACAGAGTATGTCTGCTCATTCATGTGACAAAATGGAAGATATGAACTGCATTCTACTTACCCTCGGAATGCTTCAGCTTCGCCTGCCAGTTCTATCTCCACATTCCCTCCAATAAACTGGACTTCAGCCTTCTCCAGTGTCCTCCTGCGGTACCCTACCATAGACAGGGTGTCAGACAGGCCGATGTCGGCGGTGAAACTGGCGTTGACGCTCGCTGTGAGTTGGAAGGATCTGCCCTAGTATTGTTTAGGAAACATGCGATTAAGGTATAGATTTAAATGTTGTAATGCAGATTACAAGATACATCCAACTTTAGGAAAATGACATAAGCTAGAAAATAAGGTGTATTTGATATCTGCAGGAAGAAACAACAGATAGGAGACACCCATGTTCACCTTGAAAATTACATCTTTGTTTTTTGTTTTGTTTTCTGTTCTTTACCTACCATAACGACGACTTCTTCAGCAGCTATGTCCCATCTCATTGCACTGTTTCCGGCACTTGTTGGACTTGTTCGGAGTTCTGTGGTGCCTGCCGTTATGGGCTCCGCTTCCATGACAATGAACCCAGAGTTCACACGTTTAGACAGAACCTGGAACAGTGGATTGATTGAACAGTATGGGTAAGTATTTGATTAATCCGTGGCACATACGAGTACAAAACTCTAGCTCTACAGTAGAAATAGCCTGCGCACCTTTGCGGCGAACCTGCCGGTTTTCCTGCCCACCACCACACTAGTATTGCCCGGCTGCAGCAGGAGATCCCGTGCCTCGGCAATCAGCAACCCGGTCTCACCTGTGGGGCCGCCCGAGCACGACAGGGGAGGGGGCACGGTGTCAAACTCCTCCTGAATACTGTTCAAAAGAAAGGATGAATACGTAAGCTTATAAGGATCTAAGGAATGCTATTGTTTTCAGTAAGTTATATACATAGCTGATAGCTGATACAATGAAAAAGAATATGAAAAAGAATACTTTAAAAGATAATCTTATGTAGGTTATAATTAGCTATACCTGTATATTCCTCCTGAGCAGTCTGCCAGGTTTGTGTGGATGACGGTACCGAAGGCTGTGTTGGAAATCTTGGTCACGAACTCCAGCATCCCGTTACTGTGGTTCCCCACGATGACATCCCCGGGGTTGATGACCGGTAGGTTAGGATCACTCTCTCGGAAGACCAGACGCAGGCTGCCGCTGGGTCCCACACATTTGTAAACCTGGACATCTGAAGAGGTATAAGAAACGTTAACAAAGCTAAATGTGAACTGTGATTTAAGCCATTACGTTAGCTTTGTCCACATCTCAAAAATGTCATGTTTTGTTTGATATGTGATTATACTTGTTCATGTCGACAAAGCAATCACTGTTTCAGTCCACAGCAATGACCATGTACATTCAAGCGTTTGTTTCAGTCAGCCTCGATGAATGGTCAGTTTGTAAATTTGGGGCGGCTTACCAGGGTTTATGACGTGCGTGTTGTCTCCTTGAAACGTTCCGTTCCCTCGGATGACGCTCTTTATGACAGAAAGCGACGGTTCCTGTTCTATGCTGCTGAAATCCACGACTGGCTCAAGCCGGACCCTCTGGCTGAAGTCCGCGTAGTTGAACATGTCCTCCAGGGTAGCAGGATGCGCAGCGACTAAGGTGTAGGCTCCTGGAGATAACAGATGAAACAGAAATGTGAAAAGATGAAGATAGAGACATCCATACTCTAGCCGTAAGTAAATGTAGCCTGAGTGTCAGCCTTACTAGCTTTCGTCCGCTCCTCAAGATCCGCTCCCCGCCAACAGCGGATCTTGGGGAGCGGACGAAAGCTAACAAGGCTGACACTCAGGCTAAAGTAAATGTGCAGAACATGTGCCACACCATACCACGCACCTTCAGTCACCACCTGCTCGACCTTGTGCAGCACGCCTCCCGCCTGAGGACTGGACAGCACCTGGCCGAGCTGCACGTCCAGCTCTCCCTCCTGGATGAACAGGGTAGCGCCCCAGGACGAGAAGCGGACCCGGCAGTGGTAGAGAGGGTCGCCGTCTGACGGGACGTACTTCACGTTGTGAGCGGTCAGGATCTTCTCAATGCGTGTTGTGTCGTTGTAGAGAGGGTAGACAAAGCCCTTTGGACATCGGCTCTGGTCCCAGACTTTACAGTAACCGTTCTCCTTGAAACAAATTATAGATGTACTTTATTAACCAGTCAAGACGCACCTTTTATTCAGCAGTACATTTAGTTCAGCAGTTGTAAATTTATACTATGGGTGATTTTACGTACATGTTAATAAGACAGGATTTTCACATATCAAGAACAGTTTAAACCAAGATGATTTGGGATACTAGTAGGTAGAGAGTACATTTTTAGTTTTCAGAGAGTTTTAGAGTTACTGAATCAACCTACCGTGTCCTTAAAGCATCCCTCTACATCCTCGCACCTCAGACAGGACTCAACAGTAGTGGTTGACAAGGACGAGTTACACTGCCGAAATTCACAGTCAACAACCTGGGGGTAAAAGGAATGTGATCATTGGTTGAACCCCTTTTCAATGATATACCTAGGGAAATTTCTATTTGAACACCATAACTATGACTTGGGATCTGTAATTGGAAACATGTCATGTAATAGATACTGATAATAAAAATAGACAAGCACATAGATGAACATAGATATAATTTGTTTCACATACTTCTATGTGGCCCGAGCAGAGCCCCTTGTTGCCGACAGTGAAACAGTTGTGGTAGAACCATGTAGGACAGGGGATGACGTCAGGTCCGCCGTACAAGCCAGATTCACATGACTGAGTCTGGTCACACCACCCACAGCCCACGGACCGGACACACGACTTACACGTGCTGAACCTACTGCAGAAACTTACTGTACATCCACGACCCTACGGAGGAAGGAATTAGCCATCAGGTACATGTCATGAGCCATTGCTTCATGATATTCAAGCAACGAAGATTATTCATGCATCTGTGAAATTATGAACAAGGAAACATTCAACTAATTGCCTTCGACTAGAAGGCTATGAAATCGTTTTGGCACTGTTTGTTTAGACATGTTTTCGTACCTGCCATCCGTTCCTACACCTGCAGACGTTAGGCCCGACACACACGCCGAATTCACCGCAATCGTCTAGATCCTGGCAGTTCGGCTGGGAGCAGTCCGCCCCGTCCCAGCCCCTGTCACAGTAGCAGGTCGCCACAGCCCCTGTCCCGGTAACCTGGCAGGCACCGTGCTGGGAACAATCGTTGGGGCAGCCGCGCACTGGGAGGCATTGGAAAATGTAATTATGGAGACAAATTGTTTATTTGTTTATTAAAATTTACCAGCACATGCATGGAGGGGGAGGGAGAACAGGTGGGTCACCTTTACCAGCTCCCTCCCCTAATTACATCAATAAAAACAGTATAAAACAGCATTGGATTTAAATACAATATGAAAGCAATACATAAATATACATACAAAAATATGGACATGTAATAAATCAAATATCATACTACATAAATGTCAGCGCGGTCTTAACGCTATGCATGTTCCACACCTGCAAGCCGTAGACCATGTACATATGTTGTCTGTGTCAAAGTTGTCCTGGAACTTGCCGATTACTGACTGGACAAGACACCGTTTGAATTGCAAAATGTCAGACTGACTTGTCGCTGCAACCCCCAAAGCCCTAACTGGCGTTTCTAGTTTATTCCATTCGGCCACTAGTCGGGGGATGTACGACATTGCAAATGTGGAAGTTTTGCAACGACTGGGAATCAGCATGTGAGCCCTACTACCCCCTAGTTAGTCTAGTGGAGAATGATACATAGTTCTGCATGTGTAAATCATATTGGCCAAGGACTTCACAAAAAGCATAATGTCAGCAATCTCTCTCCTGTGCGAAAGCGGTAACATGTTGAGATACTGTAATCTGCCCTTATAGTCGAGGGCACAATATGGCTTTTCCACAACAGGTCACATTGTAGTCTCTAGAAATGTCATATTGATATCCCTTTACTGTCATATCTAGCAATATTACGAATGCTAAAGAGTCCATATTAGCTTGTACCTTGTCCATTGTTGTCATAAAGCATCTACAGTGTACTCACCAGCAGGCAGTTTGCAGAAGTACGGATAGAGGGAGTCACACTGCGCCGCGAGGTCATCACCAACACCTGCATTTTCTCGATACACCCAGCATGCCTGTTCTGTGCTGGAGAGCTGGAAAAGAATAGATTGCCAAAGAAGTGTCTGTCGTCAACCATGGACGACTAACACCATTCTGTTATACAAGGTGAATATTCACTTCTACAAACGATACATTCGCTCACCTCCTGATCCATCCAAAATGGTTCTGGCGCGAAGTTGGCATCGTCTACTTGATTCTTCAGCGCAGCACTTAACATCTGCAGCTCCTTATCGGAGGCCTTCATGACTACCTGTGCGTATTGTTCCTGAAAGAAAACAACATGATATAATGATTGTGCTCTCACAACTTGAATGGGTAAATACCATATTGTACTTACTCCAGATGCAGATAGAATGTGGAGGTTATCCTTGTAACATTAAATAACCAGGACCTTGTGAGTATTTTAAGATACCTTGCATGAGTCCCAGGCGTCGTTCAATGTCTGAGCTGCACCCTTGTACTTATAGCAGTATCCAAGCTGCTCCTCATGAAACCAGGAATGGCGACAGACTCCTAACAAACAGACAACATCATGATATTGAACAGTTATCATCAATTCGCTACAGAAAATTGGGATACACATTGAAAACAGCTTCAAGCCTAGTATGCATATGATATGATTGTGTACATTTTATATGTAGATATGATTTCGTTACCTTTCTCGGGATCCTCTTCAAGGAACGGCTCGAACAGGACATCTGGAAGCTCTGGTCGGTCTCTCCTGTCTCGGATTCTCTCTCCGACTGCCGTGGGTTGATCAAAACCCCACCAATTGTTTGTGGCATCTACGCTGGCGAGTGAGCCAGTGTTCAAAGCGATGAGCTCTGCATCGTTGGCAGGATTATTTAGGACATTCTGATTGAGGTGGACGTCCGGGCCCGACACGGCGACAGTGTGCTTGTACCCCGGCCTCTGTCCGCTGTTGTGCTCCAGGCGGTTGTGAGTAAAGATCTGTATTTGACTTTGATGAAAATTTTCATCCACTTGCCAGTCCACAATGTACAGTGCGGTGTTGCGCTGAAAACTGTTTTTCTTGACACTTCCTGTTGTGTCCACCAGTGTCATGACGCTGAAGTCTGACGAAGCATCGTTAGATACAAAGTCGTTTCCTGAAATATGAGCCTGGCAGTCCCCTGTGCCATCGTTTGTAAGGTGGATGGATCCATGGCCATTGTTGGTGTCAAACGCGTTGTGAACAAGAGCAAATTCGCTTCGTCCCGAATTTTTGGCTAAGACTCCTTTCATGGAGTTGTCAGAAAAGTAGCTGTTCTTGATCGTACAGTGGATATCACTGGCATTCAAGAAGATAATGGCTTGTAAATCTTCGCCGTTTCGAGGGGTGTTTGCCGTAAGACGTATTCGCGAAATTGCTACTTCTGCTTCACTCTGGGTGGTGATGTTTACCACTGTGCCATTGTTGTTGCTGAATACACTGTCTGTAATCGTGCGCCTAGCAGCAGCTGGAAACAAATTAAAAAGATGAAAAGTTGATATAAGTAACATCAGTGGCATGGTTGTACATATGACTTCTGTGAACGACCAAGAAATATTGTCCCTTCAAAGTATATTTTTGCAAATCTGGAGACGTGATACGTAGAAGACATGTGAATTAAAACAGCTACAATATTCACCTGATGAACTTTCGATCTGGACTTCCAAGTACACGTCCTCGTCGTCTCTAGAAGACTGCAGCTGGACGCTGACACTGATTACTTCGGTCGAATGGAAAACTATGTTGTTTCGGTCATGATCCCGATAGTTTACTTCCCCAATTAATTGTTGTTGGTTTCTGTCGGAATACACACGTAACTTGGATGAACTCTGTTTCAACCGTGCTGTAATGACTCGCAAATGTATGTCCTTTCCTGTTCCCGCGTGGATATGCTTCACGCATTGGCTGTTCCCGGTCTTTTTTGTCTCGTACACGAAGTAAGCTCCGGCTGTTAGGAACAGATCTTCCTCTGAGTCACATAGTCCAATGACGTGTGCAAAGTTTTCTCTGTCGACGTATGCTTCCCATGGAAAAAGGGAGAGACTTCCCGTGATAAAGCTATTGTCTGTGATCCTGGCTCTGCTGACATAGACATTGCCTTGAGACCCGTAGATGACTATACCATTATCAGCCTGGCATTGGTGAATCTCAGAGTTGATGACAGACGTTTCGAAGCCGGGACCGAAGATTTCTAGACCTGACCCGGTACAATTTTCGATTAACACGTCAGAAACTAGTCCTCCCTTCTTTTCAATGGACAGGCCCGATGCAGTTTTGGAATGCAGAGTCCCACTTCCTGATATCTGGACATGGTTGAGAACAAACGATTCGTCACTTGCCATCCGTAACCCGCCCCATGCATTTGACGTACAGGTTGTATCTAGGATCGTTGAATGAGTGGATACTGGTGAACATCGAACAAAACGGCCACTTGAGCATGTTTGTCGAGTGAAGACAGGTTGGCCTCTGTAACAATGGACCAGCTTTTCCTCGTCTCCCTGGCAGTCAACGTAACCAGAAGTTACTGATTCTTCGTTGAGTGTGATTCTATAACTGGATATGTCCAAAGACGGGCCATATCCTAATTCACGACAGAGAATATCAATTTCCTCTGTGTTAAAATAACTCGGGCAGGCTTTGCACCAACTTCCCTCATGGAGAACTTCCATTTTCCCCTCCCATGGATATGTCCCTTCGGTTAGTCTAAACAAGCTAGACTGAACTTGAGAAATATGAGTTGTTGTTGTCAAACTTGGACCAAAGGATATCGGCTGCTGCTTCGTTCCGTTTGCCACCAATGTTCCCAGATTCAGCAGACCCACGCACGGATAGGCCTGAATTTCAACACCTGGGTCTATGGCCAGCGTCACGTTTGGTAGAATGGTCAAATCCGAGGTCAGAGTGTATGGACTGTTGTCCCGGGTCAGGCGAAGGTCACTGTACAGTCGTCCTCCAAGAAACGGTAATGGCATGTCCGGTCTTATTATCGGATCAGTCGGTGGGCTTATAGTTACGTCACTGCTGGTGAGGTATGGTAGATAAGCCACCCCAGCGTGGTTGTTGTGGTCATCAAAGTCAAAGATGGCGTCCCTAACATCATTTTCTATGGTTGTACCCCACCAATTAAATCGTCCATCAAGGAAGTCTTCCGCACTTCCTGACGGGATGTTGCTGCACACCTGATGATTGACCAAGGGGTTTTCAAACACGTTACGATGGAACCGGATGGCGCGTCGATATCCGTCAAACTGGAGGGTACAGGATGTGTTCCTGATGTTGTTGTCGTGTTGGAAGTTTCCATCAGTGTCCTCGTGGGAGTAGAAATTGTCATTGAAGACATTATAATCGATCACGGACGCTGACTCACGAATATTGTTCGACCATTGCAATATGATGGAGTGGATAGCGCGTCGTGCATTGTTTTGGTTGAACGTATTAGAACTGATATTGTGTGTCTCTGCTACTGCACTCAACACTAACACACCCGCGTGAGGGCAAACATTTCTTTCAAATGTGTTTCTTGAGATTTCAACATTTGACGCTGTTCCTGAAATGTGGAACGCGAATCTTTTGTTCCCACGGAAGGCACTGTTTATCACAGTCACGTCTGGTTCCTGTGCGCCACTGGTCTGAGCAGTAATGCGAGCACCGCCTCGTCCACTCTGCAGGAACTGCACATCGTCCAAGTGGAGTTGGCTGTTGCCTCGGATGTTAACGACCATGCCTATGCTGGAAGTACTGCGTAATGTTACATTTTTCACAAAGTAACGTGCGCCGTCGGTGTTGCTGTCAAATTTTATGGCTTCATAACTGTGTGCCAAAGCCTCAATGTCCAACAGTGTGGCTGTTCCTTTCATCGATGACAGACGAATCCCCCTACTGGATGATGCTTGTCCTGTTTTGAATTGGCTAATTGACACATATCCATTCCATTGATCTATGTGCAAACCATAGGTATTTCTGGGTGATTCACTGTTCTCAATGGTGACATTACCTATACCCCCGGTAAGCATCATGCCGTATGTATAACCTGTAGATATTGTGTTGACGATAGCCAGGGTGGGTTCCAAAAACGTAGTATCCGGTGAATCTGTAAATTGATTAGTTTGACTATTAGTGCTATACATATTTACCGTTGAGAGGCATAAATTGCTAAATAAAAGAAAATGTCTGAATAAAGGAATAATTACGATGAACAAAATACTCACCACGTTGTGGCGTGGCTTCAATCTTCGCGATGAAGTCTGCCTGTCTTGAATTTGCGAATTCAAGTTCTAACGTCATGGCTCCGACTGATTCGAAACTCTGGTCTGGCCTATCCAACTGGCCTAGGAGATGAAGACTACCAGCTTGCATAGATCCATACAGTCGAAGTTTGTTCCGGGAGTAGAACGATCTCTGGTGAAAGCGTATCCTCAGGACGTGGTCTGGCTCAGTTACAAACGTTTTAGTGCATTCAGTTATAGTTCCAGCTGGACGGTAATTCGCCAAAATGAACGGTGTTCCTGGCTGAACGCGAATTTGTTGTTCACCTTCACACATCAACCGAAGAGGCAGTATACTATCCCGTCCACTCGCCTTCAGGCCAGTCAGGGATAACTTGGAGAGAGATTCCACCCGTATGCCTACTGTGTTACTCAATGTCCTACCGCCTGTGACACTAACGTTGCTGATGATGACAGAGTCATTTGGATCGATGACTGATACGACAGACTCCGCCACACAGGCAGACGCGCTGAGATGTTGCACCGTTATCTGAGAGGGGGGAGCAAAGATTTCAACTCCAGCTCGTGACTGGAAGCACTTGTCAATCTCTATATTCTGCAGAGTCGGGGTACTGTGGATACTCTGAATCGACAGAGCTGAAGATCGTTTATTGTGTAACTGCCCAATGTCTTTGAACAGAATGTGCTCGATCTTGGTTTCTTCTTGTCCATATGATCTTATTCCTCCCCATCCAGGAGAGGGTTCGCAGGTGATACGGACTTGATAACTGCATCTTAGGTTGTCAGGTGCCACATCGTAAAAGTTACACTGTCCAATAGATTCCTCTTCTCCATCACAGCTAATTACTACCTTCTTCTGTAGCGCACCAGATACAAATGAACTTGAGGAAACGATTTGTGGAGGCCCCAGGCCGAGCTCTCTGCAGGCAATCACTTCATTCTCTCTGCTGGCAGTGTACCGCCAGTTTGCCCAGTCGTGGCATACAGATTTCCAGGTGCCGGCATGGAATACGTCCAATCTACCAATACCATCTAATCGCAGATTATAGTTGTTATTTGACGTCATGTTTCTATTAGTCTGTGCACCAAGGATAACCTGGTCTGACGTTGAGCCGACCATGTTGATGTGTCCATAGTTGAGAATACCAGCCCCCGGTGCTGCCTTCACTTCCACTCCAGGGTCAAGTGTGAGAGTGGCACCGGGAAGAATGGTTAGGTCACTCTTCATCAGCACGGGGTTGCTTCCTTTTGGGATGTGAAGATCGTTTACCAATAGACCACCGAAGGCTTGAGGTGTGGGAGAAGGATCCAATATGGCGCTGACGGGATTTCCGTTTGCAGAGTCCAGGAACGGCGAGTACGTGACTTGTGCTCCGCTGTTCCAGTCGCTGTAGTCAAATATCTTCTCTCGTATGACGTTCTCGTCGTTAGTACCCCACCAGTTGTGAGTGGCTTCTATGGTGGGTCCGTCCCATGAATATGTTCGAACAGTGCTGCACAGTTCAAACCGGGAAGCGTCCTGTTGGAAGGAATTGTGAGTGATGCTGATGGGCCTCCATTCTCCTGAGAACTCCAACGTGCAGTAGTCACGAAGCGGGTCGGATAGGTACAGGAACGGCGGGACGTAGTCATTGTCGGTGAAGATATTTTCGGTAAACATTTCTTGGATCTCGTCGCTATCAGCCCTGTCCGTAAGCGTAACGTTGAATAGACCCAAACGCTTGCAAGAATTTTGCTGAAATGTGTTGGAAGTACATTTGATATTCTTTTCAGTGCCGGTGAAAAGTAGAACTTTCTTTGACCCACATGTGTTCTCTTGGAAAACGTTGTTTCTCAATGTGATGTCAGACCAACTTCCTGAAACTCTGACAACATTGCCGCCATTTCTTCCAAAAGCAGTGTTATCAAGAAGAACTCTTGGATAACAAGTCGACGTTGACCCTTCAACACTTATGTCTATGGCCCCTTCAAGGTTTGCACTTGCTTCACTTTGTGTGACATTCAAGAAGGTTCGGTGGTCGCGGCTGTTGTAGTTAGATGGGTAGACAATGGAGATGGACACTCCCCGACGAAGGTTTAAAGAGAGACTAGACTGGTCAATGGAGATGCTCTTCTCGCTGAGAGGCATTGTGGAGGCCTCTTCCTGTATGAACACACCGTCCAGTCCGTTTGAGTTCAGAGTAGAACTCTGAATCAGCAGAGTTGGTGCTTGACTGTTGATAGAGTTCAAGCCATAGTGAGTGTTGGAACTGAAGTTGCTGTTTACAACTGTAACCTCACTTCTTACTGTATCTAAGAGAAACCCTACCCCAAAGTTCTCAGTGAATGCGGAGTCCGTGAAGGTGATTGCGTGCCCAGAACTGCCGCGGATGACTTGAGCTCCGTACGGAAAGTTCTTAGAGAACTTAGTGTTTTGTACGTTGATATTTGCTGCTTGGTCTTCTATGATGATGCCTGGCCCCTGGTTTTCCTCCAAGCTACAGTCCGCCATGTTGACCTCTGTAGTTGCCCCTTGAATCTTGACCCCTGCACCTGCGCTGTACTTGACGTTGACATCTCTCAGTACGGGTGGGTATGTTTCGATGTTGATGGCCGCTGCTGTAGTTCCTGTCCCGTCGTCCTGTCCCGCGTGGAGAACGTCGACATGTTCCAGTATGGAGACCTTCCCAGCGGATGATGGCACCAGCCGAATGCCGTTCCAAGATACGGAGTTGACCCGCCGGATCCCCTCGCATACCACCCCAAGGTCTCGCCGACTCCCGCCTAAATCTGAAAACGTTTGGTCACGATACTCGGAATAAGGATGGCGTAATAAAGAAACCTGTAAACGCGCTATAGATTTAGAATAACAAACATTTGCTGGAAATGCGGAACCGTCGATATGATACAATAGACTGCACTTATACTGGAGTCACAATTCCAACGGAGCCCGCGCGGCGCGTTCCCGATCTAGACGCCGGCCGGCGTCATGAAACCGAGCGGACGCCAATTGTCATGGGAATAAATACTAGTAGGTTTGTCCCGGCGTATTTCTCTTGCCAGGCGCCCACACGGGACTGACAAAGGCCCGCAGTCGTCGGGACCCCCATTGGGCCCCGTTCGGGTACCGTCCGATATTGCCAAAAACAGTCTACTGGGGCGCCGCGCAGGCGCCTCTTTTGAATTGTGAATTAGGTATAAATTACTACATGCACATGCTTCGTCGCAATACTGGATTAATAACATAAAAATGTAGTAATATTATACCAGTTCCCATTCATTGTATTATGAAGAATTCGCATTTTCCATTGCCATTGTCTCTGAAGAATGTACTTTGGTAATTTTAATCGATTTTCGTCATAATAAATCGGAAATGTGCACTAAAACCACAAGTCAGCAAAGCTAGCTACAATGTATCGACAACCATTGGTATAAAGGTAACAAAGTATAAAGGTTTCTCCTCGTGTCACATGTACAGAAAGAATACAGTTGCTTTGAAAAATAACATAAATAGCGTCGCGCTGGCGGTTCTCGGGGGCGCCTTGATGTTTACCCGTAAAGGCGTAAAGCATGAAGGGATAGAATCAAGCCGTCACGGGGTCACCGTGCCCTTGGTTGTCATTGGTAGCTACGAAGTAAAATACCCAGATTTCAAATATGAAGCAGAGATAAATGGAATAAGTACCAGCATAAAGTACTGCGTAGGCTGCCAAAGGGGTAAACGTTATATACACAGGAGTAAATGTGTTGGGCTCTCTCTTTCTCTCTCGTGTCGTTTAACCTAGTCAACCATTAACGGGAGAAACAGGGCTCAGAACGTTTGATCATAGGCACTCCGTCTGACTAAAGTTGTAGATATCTTAGATTACAGACGTGTAAACAGCAATTACAGATCGTTATAACTTGGACATAGAGTTTATACGAGAATTACTATATGATAGACACGTAATTGCATTGAACTGGCCTTTTGGGGGACAAATGTGACCCTTCGCAAATTGATCAATGGCTTGATAAATGTTAGATAACACACAAACACCACAAATCCACAATAATAGTGTTTACTCTAACTGTGTAACTTTGGAATGCTTTCCCAGAGAATCAATCCAGAGTCACGACGTCCAGATAAGGCTGCCTCACAAAACATACAGCTTCCTGACAACAACGGTCGTTGAATCCCCCGTTTCTATAACAGATTTGATATGTTTGAAACTCCTAACTAATGTTCAGTCGTGACCAGTTCTGACAGTCGATACCAATTTATGACTATAATAGCTGCCAACATATAAGGACGCATTGATTTGGTAATTTGGTTTGTGGTTTGGGGAATAATCCGTTAAAAGTTTAATACCCATATGTTTGTACTTGTGTATAACAAACAAGCATTTTAGTGACTTAAGCGACGTAAAAATGGTTTGGCAAAACATGTGATTATGGCTTATATGGGAATCATGTCCACGGCAACCTAGACGCGAAGTCACTTCGATAAAAGGAAGGAACCAGTAAATGAACTTTCTAGTGGAATTGATATGGTGAAGCCATGAAAAATAAGTATACGTACTTCCAAACACATTTATTTGTATTTCAAGCCTCAAGTCTTTGGTCCCACTGCAAATCTGGATTGGTTAAGTTTGTTTGGATACAAAAAGTGGAAGTTCAACATTTTAAAGAGCTGCAGCTGCAGTCCAAATATTGAAATGACACCAGAATTTCACCTCCTGTCCCAGTGGATTAGTCCAGTCAGTGAGAAAGCATCTAGGGGACAATTACAAGGTAAAAACGGGGAAAACGTCACAAATTTTGACCAGATAAAAAAACATTCTTCTGCACACCGTAGCAGCAACCTAGGCTTCTCTGAGCACAGTTTGCCCTAAAACGTGAAGATTAAGTCAAGAATACGATGAAAACTGTTGCCCATGTCTATTTCTTGGCACCTCCCCTGTATAAGCCAATCACCTTTTTTCTGCTTGCTCTCATCGATTCACTAAATTTAGGCACAATCTCAGAGACGAAGGCCTTTCTAAATTCTTCTGACATTGGCACCAAAACAACTTTTCAACAAAAGAACCAGAAAACAGATTCAAACGAAGATTTGGAAACTAAACGGTAATTAAAGACAAGCTAATAGGACCGTATGCACACAGATTTGTAAGTGCATGATATACGTCACTTCATGATTCTATCTCACACAGCTCATCAAAGTAGATTGCTGTTTTGCTTTATATTAAATGCAAATAACTTTGTTCCACTATCCTTTATATATATATATATATACAGGCACAGCACACTTGATGGAGAATGCTACCATTCCTTATACATCATCGCATCCGCCGATAGCCCGTACATGCAAGTCTCTGGAATATTAATATTTCTGCCACATATATAGTAACGCAACACGTGCAGATATATTTTAAAAGTATCCGCAGGAAAAGAACCAGCCAAACTACCACTTGAACTATGACATACTGTCGTGTCTGAGCTGCTTTAACATCACAGGCACCAAAGGTACTTAAATGTTACCAAGAGCAGGACTCTAAAGCAGGAACAAAAGCTTTATCGTTTGTGTGCCTAGTTTCTACCATGCACATGTATATATCACGCATTCCTCTTGCCCTTTGTTAGTTAAGACTTAACCTCCAACTGCTTTGAACACAATAAACGCTTTGATGCATCATGTTCCCGAAAAGCAAGTAACTATTTTACCTTTCCTGTTGACGCTTGTTCCCTTATTGAATTTCATAAAACTAAAGAACTTCTTCCTGGTGCAAAGACCTGTCCACCACCAAACAAACGTGAAGAGCTTGTCATGAGTTTCTTAGTTAACTACGTTGTTCACAAACAAACCTTCAAACACAGGTGGAAACATAACCTTTTCAGTTGAGCTAATCATCGCTTCGGTAGAATTCTAAATTTGAAAACATGTAAACATTCGTGCTGTTGAACAGGCAACAATGCCTCGCTTAGAGACCTCTCAAACCCAGAACATATATGCACACGTAGATTCATAAACCGGGACTGTCTAGTAAGCAGTACTTTGTACCAATCGATCAGCGCCCATGACAGGTTCATAGATATAACTGTCAGCTAAGTCACACGGAAATGTGTCAGCAGGTACTTACCACAGTTCGGAGCTGTTCCCATTTGTCTATAGTTGCACTCGTATAAATTCTGCTCGTTCCCGAAACACGAGAGATCGCTCATGGCCATCCTACCCTTGCCTTGCCTGTACTGACTGTCCTCTCTTCCTGTGGCAAATCCCAGGTGTCGGCAAGCTACCTGTCAGATGTAGATTGATAACAGCTGAATCAGAATCTGTTAACGGCCAAAAGTAACAAAGGAAGACTGTAGATACAAATGACTAATGTCCAATATGAGCATTGGATCACACTACGTATAATCTACATTGGCCCTTTGGACCAGCAATGTCAGGTCGACCTTTGTGTTACATATATTTGGATATTATATATGGAGAGAAAGAGACCTATAAATCTAGAACTGGAAATAGGAAAAAACAGCAATGACTCGAATCAATAAGGAAGTCTGCTGTAAAAAAATACAATAAACGAGGGTGGACTCCGTATACCGATACCTAAGGTAGGGTGCTTTACAGACATGAACATAAGCCGGAACAAAATTCTTTCAAGTCTTTACCTGCGCTTCAGAGACCCTCCAACTTGTAGCATGACACACAGATCCCCACAGTCCGTCATGGCGGATCTCTAAACGCCCCTGGTTCACAGTCGGTCCCACCAGTCGCACGTTTGGGTCCCGGGTGATGTTGTGGGCCGGGTCGTCTGGTGGGTTTTCCTTCCGATTTAAAACGATGCGTTTGTCGGCGGATCCGATGGCACGAAGTTGTCCGACGACGGTCATGCCGACTCCCTCGTCGAACAGGATTTCAACACCAGCCTCTATAGTGAGCGTCGCATCTTCTCCCACAATGATCTCATGGGTGGCGATGTACGGACTCCCAGATAGAAGAAAGGTATGGTTACGATAGTAAGATCCTCCAATCACGTTTCGGGTATCTTGCGCCGCCGCCAGGCAGACCAGAGCCACCAGCAGGTGGACTCCGCACTTCATCCCGAAAGTCATTGTTCTGAGCGAGAGGAGTACGGCTGGCGCGGTTTAAATAGTCGAGCTAAAACAAATCAATTATTTGTTTCTTCAAACATTGTTGGGAGTCAAACCACAGTACACAATTCTTCAGGCGTATATGTTGTAAAAGGTCAAAATATAAGTTTGAGTACTTTGTGGTGATATATGTCTGTGTCAAAATATGTTTATTCGCGTACAATTTACAACAGCCCCCCCCCCCCTTAACTGCTTAAGCTGAGGGTTTATCACTATGCACAATCGGTGTTTGCACACCGACGCGTCGCCACAGATGCTCACCTTTGTACTGGTGTTCGCGAGCATGAGATACAGGTCGCATTGTCAACAACTGATTTGAAAATAACTGTATCAAACATACCAAAGGTGTCGTACCTAGCCGTGTAGAGATACGGGCAAAACAATTCTGTTCATCTATCGTCCAGCGCTTGTGTAGGTATCCCAGCTGGCCAAAGGGCAGTAACAGTCTACCTCGCTGATAGCAACCAGTGTGAAATGTAAATTCTGTATATCTAAAACAGCTGTGGCTATGCAATTTGCTCTTAAAATTGCAACTTGTACGAGACATAACCTAGTGTTCTCCTCAAAATTTGAATTTGTCATTGACATACTTACCACAATTTCTAATTACATGTATAGGGCAGTAGCATTTAAAGTTACAAACACTCTCATTGAAGACGCGAATAGCGCTAGATATGAAAAGTAAATAGCTTTATTTCCAAAGAAAGAGTACATGACTGAGAATTAATTTTGTCCTTGTCACTCGGACATTACAGCAGTAAGCGCTTTAGAATATACAAACATTTCATAGATATATTGAGGATAGCATGTAGCTATTGATAATCAATACAAAAAACACAATATAATTCCCATACAATTTAAGCAGGAGAGTTTAGAAGCTGAGACGTGTGACATTAGTGTAACCGAACGTGTGAAAACACCAAACAAACACATGTTTATAGTCAACACAACACAGCTCCCGAGAACTGATGAGTAGACCATTCCGTTGGAAATGTCAATGGCGATTCTGTCCTTTCCTTAACCACCGTAACCACTTATCGGCATACTTGTATCGCCATTGCATCACCCCCATTCAATTTCAAGAATGCCCTTACAGAATTATACAGTAAGAAAGTCTTTTCCTGGCACTATTTGCATTGTTCAAGAAAATATACAACGTTATGGCAAAATAAAATGTGACATTTTGTCTACTAAAAGAGTTGTCCTAGTAGGAACAGAGTATTCTTCTATGTAACTATACATTTGACATTAGTGCAGAAATATGCAAAATCACGACACAAGCACATCCGTGTATAACACAAGGTAAAGTGCAATATGGACGGCAATTTTCACTGCAGCTCCTTAACAAACAAACAAAAACACGTCTGTCATCGGTAGACTCTAGAAAGCTCCATTCATGCATTGCATGAAATGAAAATTCAATGTTATTCCATACATCATTTGATATTTTATAAAGAAGCATAAGTATGGCTTTGGATGAGGACAACTGATGAGAAACGGGTTCATTTTGACGTATTTATCACAGGAACACAGGTTCTGCAAACACCGCAAATGGAATGTACACCGTGGACGGCTCTTTCATCTTTATAATGACATGCAAGTCAACACAATTAATCTCAACGCCGATACCGCATGTTTTCTGACTCCAGGTCTAGTGATAATTTGGCATAGCCGTGACCTGGTCAATAGTGCAGCAGTGTGGCATTTTCGCCTTTGAAACGGTCCCATGGACTTCATAAGCTGCCAGATGCCACCAAAATAAATTACTTTTGGCCCAAACATAAATGAGCAGCTGTGTTTCCAGTGGCTCGATCAGAAATATTAGCTGCTCCGATACTTTTAAGTAACTTTCTGACAATACAGTGCGCGCGTCGTGCTGGGATACACGTATTGAAAATGCCTCCGTTCTGGAGATTGATTAGACTCATGTGAAACAACAAAAGTCGATATTTATCCACCCGTACATTTATAACATAACATTTGGTGTGTAATCCGTATCATGCGGTGTTATGTTCTATGATATTACATATAGTTCTAATAAAAAGATTCATCCTTTTCACCGGACCTGTCTAAAAACACTTTTGACGGTTTTTGGTACATGGTATCTTATCATAAAATTGTCTCTCACGCAAGTTTTCTTACATTCCTATATTCTACTTGTACATATGCTCTACTTATATATGCTCAGTAATAACAACACGTTCAACAGCGTGACCAATGATGTTTGAGAATGTGACGTCACAACTGTCTAGACCATGAGCAGCAGGGCGACCCCGGCCAGGACCCACCGTGCCGCCTTCTCTTTGGTCTTCAGGTTGAAGGTCCAGACGAACGTCGCCCCGCGCTCCTTGGTTTTGTAGACTGGGCACTCGTACATGTTCCTCATGTCCTGCTTGTCCACGGGGATGGCCTTGATGAAGATGACCGGCATGGTGGGGGTCAGGTCTTTCAGGTGGGCCTCGTTGATCATGCTGGTCTGAGTGTCCCAGCGGGCGCCCTCCATGTACAGCCCGTGTACATACGCGCCCTCACGCGGCGGGCTGCTGAAGTCCTCCTTGTTCTTCTTAGACACGTCGCACTGGAGACACATGCGGTCCAGGGGCCACTCGTTCTTACGGGCCATGCTCTGGAGTGAAAGAGGAGGAGGCATTATGAATACTCAAGTGTGTACTGCTTACCACGTGAAAAGGTTCGTCAGGACTACACGCGCTCCGTCCGATTACTATAATTCCTTTAAATATGACATTTTTCTGCTAAGGAAGTACATTGCAATCAACAAAGCACTAAACCAAAAGATACAACACGTAACATATCAATTACTGTAATGAGGGTTTTACACGCCAGTATTACCTGCATGATGGCAGTGAGGAAGGACTGCGGGTTGAAGAAGCCTCCCAGCCAGACTGCACTCGGCATGACGAAGTCAGCTGTCCAGTTCTCCAGCTCCTTCACACGCAGGAGTAAGTCAGCGTACCTGGGGGCAATAGGTTAGATGATACCTTTACTGCATGTGGTCTAACAGTGCAATAGACGCTGTGACGCAAATGGTTATTCTTGCAAAAGGTGTCTTGCTGAAAATCTAAGTGTTTTGACAAATGGCACTATTGCTGATGTCACAATTGACAGCTAGATTCGTAGTTGAGTCGTCATTTGATAGATCAACATATTGATTTAGTGGTAAATTGCATAATCATCAAAGTGGTGTACCATTGTCCCAGGCCGTAGAGGGACGGGTATGCTCGCTTTGTCCAGGAGTCCGGGACCTGGTCCAGGAACAAGGCGTTCATGAGATCCTCCATGTCTGAGGTGATGGTCAGCTCACCCTGGGGGGAAACAAGTTTACAGCGATAAGCAGACAGTTCATTGATACAGAACGTAACCTACACTGTGGGTAAATGTAGTATTTTGGCCACTTGTTCCCCTTCGATACCAGAACAGGAAATACTCCATCTTCCTGTGCACGGTGCCACATGGATGGATTGATATGCTTCTTTGTTTGTGTTTGTTTGTGTGTTTGTATGTCTAGATGCAAGATAGGTCAACTTCATGCCCCGCATTATGACCAGAATGTATCTACATTAATCACAATCCTAGTATGTAGTACATAAGGTACAAGGCAATTACCTTCAGACCGAGGTCGACTTCCTTGAGTGACCTGCGGATCTCGTTGGTCAGACCGTTCATACGCTCACACTCCTGGAACGACACCACGATGTACGGGGTCTTCTCCTCCGCCTTAGCCATGATCTCAGCCATGTTGAAGCTCTCTGGTAGCTTCTCCAGAATGTCGTCCAGAAGTCCTTTCACCTGTACGAGAAAAGATATTCTTAGTTTGCAACTTTATCAACTTTATCAACTTCGTCACACTGTAGTTTAGTAGAGTCAAATTACTTGTTAAAGAATCCCATGGTTAGCAAAGTCCTCAGACACACTTCCAGATCACCTTAATGCAATTGTGCAATCAAAACATTCAAGGCTAGGTCCTGGACTAGATGTCACTATACCATAAACACAACACGTCTTCAATAACGCTATTTCTGTACTATTTGAATACAACAAATATTGTCCTTTTCCTCGCGTGTGACTCCACCGGCCCCGGCTCCACCTGAGTCTTTCGGCTGCATCTCCAGAACAGTCTTGAACAGGTTCTCTGACGTGATGGTCAGGAAGCCGATCTCGGCGTTAGGGTGGAGACCGTACAGGTACGGGCTCTCAGGCGGCAGCATCTCGTCTATGTACTGGTGGTACCCCACGTAGTCCAGGTTGGGAGGGACGGGGAATCCCACCGCTAGGTTTAAGTCACCATCAAGCTGTAGAGGAAATAGGGTAAAGATAGAAGGAATTAATTATTGTTCTATACACAGTGGGATATTCTGTACATATGACGTAAGATGACATATTCTGTACTTATTTTGAGCTGTATTCATACTGGTGGGCAACAAAGCTCAATTCAAACTTGAAAGTTTTCTCTCACCAGTGACGGCTGCAGGTACTCCTCCAGGAAGGTCTTACACAGCCTCCTGTCCCAGTCATCAGTGATGTGTCCTCCGTACATGATCTCACCGAACAGGTAACGCAGATCCTCCCAGGGCACCTGGGGAGTGAGCACAAATCCATCGGTTACTTTCCTCACAATGCTGACTAAGAGTAGAATACTAGTATACGATTTATCTACGATTTATCTGTATTTCTATTTCTAGAAATAGAAATAGAAATACGATCAAAAGGACTAAAGCGGTTTCATTATGTAGTTTTGCCTGACTCAGTTGTGGATCAGTGTTTGCTAAGTATACAGTATCCCATGTATCATGCTCCCCGTACCTTGGTGTTCGCCTCCAGGTAGTTGAAGAGGACGTTACAGGAGATGGTTAGATCGCCGACGTTGAACGGGTAAGGCCGGTTCCATCCCTGCGGTCCGAACTTGCGCCGCTCGCCCACAACGGCGTGGAAGTAACACAGGTTGAACAGGATCGACTTGAACTCGTTTTCTCGGGCACACATCTCCAGGGTATCCTATACAACGTTCAGATAACAATTAATTACCGTATCCTACTGTTTACCCAACAGACAAATGCGTACAAATAAGTCACATAATCATATCTATTATTTTAGCTGTAATGATGTGATTACTTTATCATACATAGAAATACCTACATTTTTTGAAGCTTTTACAAAGGATTAGTACCATTCTCAACTACATCTCTTTTGACATAGTCTTACATTCATATGTATATTACCTGGTCGAAGTTATCCAGAGCCTTGTGCAGGTTAGCATACATGCCGGTAGGGGGCTCGTTGGTGATCTTGATGGAGGCCTCCAGGATGCCTTGTGGGATGTTGTGTGCCTCCACTGTTGGAGCCGGCTCGGCTGAGATGTACACCCGGTAGTCCTCGTGACTGCCCTCGCTGTACTTCTCCAGCTTCTTGTCCAGAGTTGCCAGCCATTTGGCCACCAAATGGATGTTCTGTCGACGGTAATAAATGTAAGAAACATTTAGCAGTGAAACTTGTACAGCAATCGGATAATTTTGCTACGTTGTATCTTATATTCCTTGAAAGCAACTCGTCAAACGTCAAACGTCAAATACAAAACATGACGCTAAATTTTTACCTGAAGGACGACCCAGTGGCCTTGCTCGGACGCCATATCCAGGGCCTTCTCAGCTACTATCTCCTGGCCCTGCCCCAGGGACACGTTGTGGAACTTCCCTGAGTCCCACGTGAAGCCCATCTTCTTCCCCAGGGCCTCCACGTCCTTCAGAGGGTCCACACCGGGGGAGAGGATGAAGAAGATCGGGGTGCCGATGCCGCTCTCCTCCCACGACTTGGCAAACTCCATCGTCCTGCCCTCCACGTACTTGCTTCCCAGCTTTTCTTCCACAAAATTTCTATAGAGCAGATCAAAATCAATGTTAGTTAATCAAATTCCATTATTAGGCAGAGATTTGCTTTCCAGAATGCAGTCCCATATATCATGCCTGTATAGCGCTATTGTCGCATAAGCATAAATGTACCACGTACTAGTCATATAAATACAGTCTGATGTTAGCCAAGAGAGTCTATACTTATGTCGTAAGATACCACCAATTTCTAGTGTATTATCTAGCTGGTTTGTGAAGCATGGATTTGTTGAATCATTTGCCAACAACTACAATTTATAACGACATCTACCTTGTAGCGTAGGTCATCCTGTCCGGACGGAAGGCCCTCATCATGCACAGTTTCTGCAGGGCAGACTTGTTCTTCCACTCCTGGGGGAACTTCTCCTTTTCGGGACACTCGCTCTCCACGAACTTCTTCCAACGTTTGGCAGACCCTTCGATGTCACGATCGAGATTCCTGAATTCGTCCATGTCTGCCAGGGCCTACATTATGGTAAAAAGAACAGTTGTTACTCCAACACGATTCCTAACATAAATGGCACTCTGAAGAATATCTGTCTTTTATGTCCAATTCTGCGTCTTCTACTTGATACTCTGATGTACTGACCTTTATCCCTCCCCAAGACAGGTCGTTTAGGAAGTCCACCGGGCTCTTACAGTTCGGTCTCGCTGGGAACCGCAACAAGAAGTCGAGCTCAGTCGGGTTGATCTCCTTTTTCATCAGCAATACCTGAGAAACAAGAATAACGTTGATTATTCGAGATGATCAAATCTTCTGGTCAATGCTCGACTTACTCTATGTCCAAAGTTGACTAAACACTTCCCCTTTTTTGAAACAACCCAAGCAGGTGCATCAACATAAAAAGAGTCACAGAAACTTTATTTCATCAGATCCAATCAGGTCCCCGTTTGGGGAAACTCTAAGCTCTGTGCACAAATTATTCGTATCCAACTTTACTTACAGCAAAATCTTTATGCAAGTTACCGATAACATATTACACACGATATACAAAAAACCTCCAACTCACCAGGAAGGCCACTTGTGAGGTGAAGATGAGCTTGTCCCGTTCGAACAGTCCCCGGCTGGTGTAGATGAACACGGCGTAGGTGATGGCGTCGATCAGGTTAGCCACCCGGACCTTCAGATTCTCGTCCTTGTCCGCCATCCGGATGGCGCGCAGGAACACCACTTTGAACGCCTGGATATAAAACAAATTAAGGATATCAATTAACCATAACGGGCATCAGGAGCTGATGTAGCTCTCTCCAGATATCTACATTGCATTCTATTTGTATACTAGTAAGTGATAGCAACTAGCCATGCTATGATATTTTGCAAGAGCCTTTCAAATGTTTCAAACGCACGTCCTCTTGCATTTTATGAAAGTTGCTTGANCAGGGCAGACTTGTTCTTCCACTCCTGGGGGAACTTCTCCTTTTCGGGACACTCGCTTTCCACGAACTTCTTCCAACGTTTGGCAGACCCTTCGATGTCACGGTCGAGATTCCTGAATTCGTCCATGTCTGCCAGGGCCTACATTATGATAAAAAGAACAGTTGTTACTCCAACACGATTCCTAACATAAATGGCACTCTGAAGAATATCTGTCTTTTATGTCCAATTCTGCGTCTTCTACTTGATACTCTGATGTACTGACCTTTATCCCTCCCCAAGACAGGTCGTTTAGGAAGTCCACCGGGCTCTTACAGTTCGGTCTGGCTGGGAACCGCAACAAGAAGTCCAGTTCAGTCGGGTTGATCTCCTTCTTCATCAGCAATACCTGAGAAAAAAGAATTACGTTGATTGTCATTGGCATTCATATTTGAGATGATTAAATCTTCTGTGGTCAATGATCGACTTACTCTATAGCATATGACATACTATATACAAAAAACCTCCAACTCACCAGGAAGGCCACTTGTGACGTGAAGATGAGCTTGTCCCGTTCGAACAGTCCCCGGCTGGTGTAGATGAACACGGCGTAGGTGATGGCGTCGATCAGGTTAGCGACACGGACCTTCAGATTCTCGTCCTTGTCCGCCATCCGGATGGCGCGCAGGAACACCACTTTGAACGCCTGGATATAAAACAAATTAAGGATATCAATTAACCATAACGGGCATCAGGAGCTGATGTAGCTCTCTCCAGATATCTACATTGCATTCTATTTGTATACTAGTAAGTGATAGCAACTAGCCATGCTATGATATTTTGCAAGAGCCTTTCAAATGTTTCAAACGCACGTCCTCTTGCATTTTATGAAAGTTGCTTGAGTGAATATTTCTAATCGTGCCAATTATAACGATTTCCCTTTCTTTTTCCCGAAAGTGTTCCTTAGCTCAATCTATATTCGTTTGTGGCTTTCTTATTCTTTCTTCAAATATATATGAAAACAAGACAACGTACTTTCAGAGAGAACTGGTAGAGTGGGTTGATCTTGTAGAGGTCGTTCATGATGAAGTAGAGCAGGGAGGATCTGGCGGCCACGGGTCTGTAGTGCTCACGGGCCTCGTTAATCTTGATCTCCGTCACCTTGGCTTCCTCCACCTTCACTTCGATCTCCGCTGCAGTTCGCTTGGTGATCTCCAGGTTCTCCACCAGGGCAGTGTCGCCAAGGAAGTTGCCGCCGGCAGACGACAGGCGCGACAGAAGGTTGTCCTCCAGCTGCTTGAGCGTGATCTTGAAGTCGTTCTGCTGCTTGGTCAGATCAGCCTGGAACACACGGAACTCATCAATTTCTGCACTTCTACTTATGATACATGAGGGAGGTAGTGAAGCTTAAGTTATGAAAACGGTTGCAGATATCTCAGTTGTTAACAAGAAAAACATGCCAGTTTCCATAGCTTAAGTTGATTAGTCGACTATTATGAATGTATCTATTTTAGTCGTCTTCTTTCTCATTGTGATCATGTTATGTTTGGTTACTTTGTGATGGGGTCTTCCCTAGGAGTCTTTGAAAAGCGCTTGAAATAAATGAACTGAAAATGGAATGAAAAGTGCAATTAATATTTTATTTGAATAACGTACCTTCAGTTTCTCCAGGTCAGGTCTCTCTGCGCTGACGACATCCGCCAGCAGCTGGTCCTCCAGCCCGTCCCGGGTGACGGTGAAGTTGATGAGGGTAGCCTGGGCCTGCATCTCCGGCTTGTAGTGCGGGTTGGCCAGCTTGGTGTGCAAGATCAGCCGGAAGTCCTTGTGGAAGTCGCATTCCTTGTCACCGATTTTGATCGCCCTGTAAAATGTTTATCGTTAGCGATTTTTCTTATCCATGTAATTCAACTACTGATGCCTCAGTCATATCAATTGTACGCAATGTCAATCAGTACAATGGAAAGACAAAGGAGATGGCCTCCCTCACGATTACAACGCTGTCTACCTTCTTTGCTTCCAGTAGTGCTTACCGTCCTTTCTTGATGGTGTTCCGACCGATGAGTGGGTCGAGCACGGGATCCACTGACTCGCCCATGTTCTCCACCAGAACCGTCTCTCCCATGGACAGGGCACGCTCGAGAGTGTCCAAGTATCTGCGGACGACAAGAATGAAGTTTATAGTTGTAGAGTTTAAGCTTATAAGGAAAAAAGCTTCTAAACTCTACAACTATGGATTCTACTTACACAGATGAGCTCTCATTCGAAGAATGTAGTTTATTGATTCTTCAACTTCAATGCGAATAGAAATTTCAGGACGGCAGATGAAACAAAAGCCAATCCCAGTTTATAATGGAGACGATCCAATGGAGACAAATCATCCTAAATGGTAATGCCTCTTCACCAATTCAGCTACTGTCATAATGTCTGTGACTCCATTGAAAGATAAAGGACAAAACAAGGCAATTGTTTTAGCTTTACCCTTTGGCTCCCAGACGAATGACGACAAGATGCTCGTATTTGTTCTTGATCCACTTGATGCCCTGAAGCTGTGGGTCAACCATCAGTGGCCAGCGGTCCGAGTTGGTCAGGATGGTGGCGTTTTCCGTGGACATGCGGTCACTCGGCAGCTCCTGGTTCTGCCACTCGGCCACGGAGGCGTCATCGGTGAGCATGGTGAGCGGATCTATGCCCTCTGTCATTGGGATGGGAACCTGAGAAACGATGGGCAGTAGTTAACACACAGGAGGTACAGATATATGGCAAGAACCAGAATAAGAATAGTGTGTCAACTGCAGTCTTTCTCTACTGTCAACTCTCATTACAAATTCTGAACACTAGCTAAAGAAGCGTATCTCATAGGCAATTTACTGTATCTTAACTGAACATTATGATATGATATGATATGATATGATATGATATGATATGATATGATATGATATGATACGATACGATATGATATGATATGATGTGATGTGATGTGATATGTTTTATGATATAATCATGCTGTGGTATAATTCCTTTGATATTCTCTGAAGTGTTGCCAGTTAAGTGTTGCCAGCAGCCCTATAGACCATCTTCCCTACTTACCTTCTGATCCTTTAAGAAAGGCATCCAGGCATTTTCGAACAGGTCGATTCTGTAAGACTTGGTGAAGTAGCCCACGTACGAGACAAAGGCAGTCGTAAGCAGGACGTCTCCACACAGCGTCTTCTCGGCTTCCTTCAGCTTCTGGACGGAATCGGCCCAGCGGACATTCTCAGATGCCAGCCCACCTACAGAATCATAGCATTTGTTTATTGGACTTCAAAGATTTAGAGACAAAAACCGTAAGCAGCCGGCAAAATAGATGACATAGTTATTCTGCAAGGCCAGCTAATCAGAAAGTATGCAATGTAACAAAAGATGATCAAAAGAAATATCATCATATTAAAAGAAATATAAGGAAAAGGAAATATCTACTAGTACGTTAAGTAGTAAATTGACGATGATGGTAATGGTAATAGATACAGCTAGCACAAACAGGTGATTAAAAAGCTTAAGTTAAAATTCAAGATAGTCTCAACGATACATAATTCTGCTTGCTCTAAAAACCCTATCCTGTGCGTATCTTATAGATGGGGTTCGCTAACAGTGTGTATAAAGAAAACAGTAGCTTACCGACGAGTCTGTTGGCAAGGTTGATGGTCCGTGCCGTGTCATCAGCCTCCTGTTGGCACTTCAGCTTCTCGGCAGTGGCCTTTTCGAAATTAGCAGTCAGCTCCGCCAGGTTCTCATCTAATTGCTGAAGAAAACATGAACATTTTTATATGGTGAGAATTTATACACTGTTACAGTTTCAAGGGTTTTAGCCTTTACCAGATTTGCCTCGTTCGATTACTATGTAGTGCAATTATAAAATCACTGTTACAGATGAATCAGCATACACACATCTCAAGTTTCAAACTCACCCTGATCTTCTCCTTGATGTCAGCAAGCTTCTTTTGGGCCGCCGCTAGATCGGCGTTAGCCGCCGCTAGGGCGATGCGCTTCGGTTCGACATCGCAGTAGACCTCGTAGAACTTGACGATGTTGATAGCCCACGCGCACAGGCCGGAAGCGGCCAGCGACTTGCCACGGATGAACTCCGGGTCGAACTCCGGGTCGGCCAGGTAAGGCGCGATGGCTTTCAGGCAATTTTCGTGGATGTTCTCCTTGTCGTAGGTTATCAGGTTATTCAAGAATTCGTCCACCTACAACAGGGCACATTTACAGTTAGTACTCGAACACGCCTAGACAGAAATGAAATAGAGAACGGTACGTAAATTGTACAGCGGTAATTGAAATAAATGCGAGCTTCTTGTAGTTCTCACCTTGCCCATGACCACCTTAGCAGCCTTCCAGCTGCGGTCTTTCGGCACCTTTCCTCCCGGGGCGAGCAGCACCATCACGGCGGCGGTCACGTTCGTCACGGCACCCGGGGGTGAGCCGAAGGACTTCAGTTCTGTCAGATTGCCCTGATGAAAAAAAAAACATTCAAAGCTTTGTTCCACCTGATATGTATAGCATAGTTTCATACCTTACACGTAGGAACTGTTTTTCATTTCACATAACCATCCAAGCACTGGGGAATGTCATGAGCAGGGTTTTTCCAAAATATGTTGACACTTACATGCATCACGGGAAAGATTCTGTTTACCTTGTTGAGGGTGTTGAGAGCTTCTTGAGCGGCCTTGAGTGCTGGTTCAGCTCGGGCTAGATCTCGCTCGCACGACCTTTGCTTTTCGCCCACTTCCTCGTTGATAACGGCAACCTAACAGTAGAGAGAGGTAGACGATAATAAGTATTGTATGGCCGCTTTCCAAACGAAAGAAGATATACATTGTTATGTGTCAGGAAAACATTATGCTTTTATTAGGCGTTCCAACACAAAGTGTGGATCCCAATAAAGTCAAGTCAAGTCAATAATGACGAAGTTTACCTTCTTTTCTTCCTCATCTGCAATCGCCTTTTCCTTGCTGACCTTTTCCGTCTCCACTCCCACCACCTGGATCAGTCGGTCTGCGTCTTCGTTCTTCTGCTTCAGTTCCACTTCTTGTGACGCCAGTTTGGCCTTCAAGTCATCGACCTAATAATAGAGGTAAGCGTAAGGTAACACTGTACCTACATGTATGGTAAAGTAGCCAAAAAAATCATTTTTAGGTTACAGCAACCTGAAAAGACGTCATAAGAATTAATGTTTTTCACTAATAGATCCCGTGGCTTGTACTCTGCTTAAAACTTCATAAGCAAGTAAAGCTGTAAAAATGAACGTTCATATTTAACAAAAAAATTTTCTTACCTGTGAGGCGGTGCTCTGCAGCTTCAGCAAACCGTTCTCCAGACGGTCTACGTTCGCTGACACTTCTTTGTTCTTCTTCACCATTAGGTTACTGTACAGGCTGATCTGCTCCAGGAAACTCTTGGGGGTGGTGTAGTTGTACCTGCGCTCGTTTACCAGGTACGACTTGCTCATGTTGTTGACACTCATGTGGACAAAGGCCATGAAATCGCTCACAGACTCCCGTAGCTCTCCCTGCGAATAACGAACCAACAATGAGGTAAGTCTCACCAGTTCATCTGAGTTGGTAAGTTACGTTAGTGAAAAATTAAACTGTTCTCTAACTCGAAACTCGGGCGATTCGGTGGAAAATTTTACTCTGATTTCTTTGAGTTGGAGAACAGTTTTATCTCTCACTATGAACACTGATCTACATGTATCATTCACGTTTTACAAAAGTCGTTTTCTACACGCGTAGCTCACCTCTAGACCCTCCACGTCCTCCAGGAAGCGGAGACTGACAGACTTGAGCGCCTCCTCCGGCCACTCGTGGAACCAGTCAATGGCCGTGCAGTTCACCACCGCAGGGAACTTCCGACTGCGCACGCGCAACGTCGAACCCACAGGAGAGAAGCACAGCACGACCTGGCAAAAATAATGCGTCATATTTCGATTAAGACATTCAAGAATTTCGAATCGCATCACAAGAATTTTCATCGTGACACTGAAAACGTTATGCGGCGTTAACGTAACGACATGCGTTACCTTCATCTGCCTGCGGACCCTATCGATGAAGAAGCTCCAGCAGTTCTCGCGGGTGTCCTCCAGCCCCAGCCCCTTGACTTCAGTGCGGACTCCGCCGATGATATCCTCAATCTGGTCGGGTTGGAACAGTCCGGGGATCTCACCAGTTGCCAGCAAGTCGTTGACCAAAACCAGGAACTTCTCGTCTGGAACCTGGCTGTCCGTCATCAGGAACATCATGCCGATGTTCTTCACTCCTGCCTTGATGCAGACTCCGCCGAGGTCGACCTGAACAACAGGAGACATTTGTGTAACTTTCACAGTATTACTCACATGAGGTTTCCATAAATGATTTGTACGTAGAAGGCAACATAATTTCATCTAGCTTTCAAAAGATAGAACAGTTCCCTGACCTTGAGGTCGTTGATGTTGTATCCCTTCCTCAGGGTGATCTGGAAGACATCCAGGCTGCTGATGAAGGCAGACAGGCGGGACAGACTCTGTTTGCCGCTGCCTCCCACTCCCACCAGCAGGGCGTTACCACGCGGAGACTCCAGGATGCGGTTGATGCGGCAGCTACATGAAACACACATGCACTTCAGTACTTGTCTTCTAAATCTATCAAACGTGGGGTCATGTGGCGTAACGGGTAGGCTCAGAACCAAGAGGTCCCGGGTTCGAATCCTGCCACGCCACCGATCTCGGGCCATTACGGGACACGACTTTCCTCACTTAACTAGTATTGTCATCTGCGGTGGTGGCGGCATGAAAACATGTGTGTGCCGTCACCGCATGCCTAGTCTTTTTATTAAATGTTGAAATATAAACAAAATCAAAATGTATCAAATTGACGCTATGGCTGGAGCATCAGAAGAACTATAGTTGGTATATTCAGTGTAGGTATATACAGTATAAGATAAAACCCTCACATGTGTGACATGGCGTCCTCGAACAGTACGAGGTTCATAACTGCGTTGATCTCGTTGTAGTTGTCCAGAGCTTCCACCAGGATCTTGTTCAGGTGATCCCACCCGGGCACGAAGCCGTACTTGGGCTCGCCGATCCCCCCGGCGAAGTGGCAATAGATCTGAGGTTGTTTGGAGAGCACTTCCTCCTCAACGTCCTAAGGTTTAAGATGTTAATGTCAAACAAATTAACAACAGTCGGTGCAATATTTTCCTATGTTGACATAATATACTTACGTAATCAAGGTAAAATCCTTAAATCAGGGCATGAATCGCCATACGGATGGAAACAACCCCGGCATAGCTGCAAGCTGATATTAAACTTACTTCAAAGTGCTTTTTGGCATATTCCAGCTTGATCTTTTCAAAGGCGTCCATGTCGTTCTCGTCCATCAGCTTGTCTCCGTAGACGCGTGAAGCCTCGTGCAGCCACAGCTTACACATGTCCGCGGTCGTCTTCAGGGCATCGCTAGCAGCGAACAGAACACCCTAAAACACCAACAAAAGTTACCGTAAACATCATGCCTTATGCCCTGTAACAGTGTCTTTGAATCTTTCTAAAGGAACTGATGATACATTGTAACGTGATATCTACGTGTCTCAAGTTTCATCCTATGTATATTACCTGGAAGATGTTGGACAGATCCCTCAGGTTGAAGATGTAATGAAACTTGATAGCGGTCGGCAGGAAGGTGCTGGCGACCTTCTTGTGGAGATCCAGAGCTGCGGCCACCACGGTGGGAGCCAGCTTCTGCACGGCGTTGGAGAAGCCTCCCTGGCTGAGATGGCCGGACACGATGCTGGTGTAGATGGTGGTGAGGGCGTCCACACCGGGGAAACTCAGGGCGAACATGCAGAACCAGCGCTGAAGTACAACATCGGATTAGTCAATAGAATACGATGATTAACGGAAGAATACAATTTTTGCGGTAAATGGTCCAGAAATATGTAGTGTAGCAGCTGCAAGATGGTGATAACATTGATAATTGTGTTGACGATTTAGTTGCCTAGCTGTAGCAGCTGACCTGTAGCCGTGGGTTGATGGTGAAGCTACCGGCGGTGGGGTTCATGGCCGCCACGTACTGACAGTTGTGGACCTCCTTCAGGATGAGCTTCTGTCGGTCGTACCACTGGGAGTAGTCCATGTGCTGTCTGATGAGGGTGTGAGGCTGTACCGTGCCGTACGTGTCCACCTCAGGCATGTTCATGTCGTCGATAAAGTACACAAGCCTCTTGTTGCCGGGTGGCCCGAAGTTTCGACCGGCCTTCTTCTCCAAAGGCTCCTCCAAAACACCTGCAATTAAGATTGGTATATGTTGGTTCGTGGGACGTACAACGTCAAGTTGACCAGCGCTTCCTGCGATCGTAAAAAGGGCATTTTAGAGCCTAAACGTAAAGTACAATAAAAGGATTTACACCAAAACACAGCACAAGAATACTCACCCTGAAGCATGAGTGACGTTGTGTAGAAGTTGAATGGCACTTTTGACACCATGTAGTCGTCGCTCAGCTCGTTGAGTTTGTTCCCGATGAGCACAGACTTGCCGAGGCCAGCATTACCGACCAACATGACAGGCCGCCTCTTCTCCATCAGCATATCCAGGAAGAACCTGTACCGAACTGTCTCAGTAGTCGCAACCAGGACAGACTAAGGATAAAATGCGAAAAAAATGATTACGTCTAAGAAGAAGCAACTGTAGGATCGGAGACCTCCTATTTATTCAACTTGTATCTATCGTTTTCCTTCACTGTATCTACGTCTTTTCCACTTTATTCAACATTCTCTTGCTTCCAATTTTAATGTAGAAGCATCATAAGCTGTACCTGATGGCACTTGAAGGTATTAAAAGTCATTACGCACAGATGGAATATTGATAATCAATGATTTGTGGATGAAGGACTAACATTCATGCATGCTGCAATGTACGATACTGACCTGTAGAGGGATTTCAGTGTCGTGTGCGTATTTGGGGACTTTGTCCGCCCAGGGAAGGAATTTCTTTGTCTCCGCATCGATGTAGTAGTCGAACACGGTGCCCTGGGACGGGAACTTGATGGTCTTGAACTCCGTCACCCACCACTTGCTGAACTCCACCCGGTGGTCCACCAGCTGGAAAAAGTGACGTATATACTCACGTCAGAGCTGCTAGAAACACTCAGGACGTTTGCACTCATTTCGTGCCATCTTAGTTAGTTGGTTAAAAAATGGGGATGTGGGAGCCGACGAAAACCAACTGGGATGGCACCCAGACTATTTTCATGTCTCTATGTACTTAATGTGGACGACAACGTTTGGAACGCATTTGGAAACAAAGCCTTTGAGCACATTCTCCATTGAAATTTTAGACACATATTATTCTATTAGGTAGATAGCATTTGTCATTGTTTCACATGTCTAAGAGTTCTCATGTGGCATGCATAAGTGATAACCCATACCTGATCCTGGAACATCCCTCCACCGAAGGCCCACACTGCCGCGAACACGAAGTAGAGTTCGTACAGCTCTTTCGGGCAGTCTGGGGGCGTGTTCTCCTTGGTGAACAGTCCGTCTATGAGGTGGCACAGCATGTGGACGTTGCTGATTTCCGGAACTGGAATGATGGTTTTGAACCTGGAAGAGTTGGACATTACATAGCTTTTATTCAAGCTTCCTTTTTTCCATCGTCCATCGTACAACAACTAGGTCTTTGCAGTCAGGCTATACCCATACTTTAAAGAGATAGATGTTAGTAAAATAAATGATTGCAGCAAATGAATGTTTCATATAGGCCATAATAGGTGTCTCTAAAACCTTCTCATTGCATGGTTTTCAATGTTGACTGAGAGGTTAAAGTGTCAAATGTGGGAAGGTACCGTGTGACTGTAACTCACCTGGTCCGCAGGGCCTCCAGGCACGGCGGCACGTACTTGTCGAACAGAATGGTGAGGTTGGCGCGCTCCGACTGGACCTCCCGGGTGTCTATCCAGCTGGTGACCACGGGGTTCCAGCCCAGGTCGGCGGGGTTGATGTACAGGATGCCGGCCCGGGACACCGTGGCAGGGGTCGCTGTTCTCAGGTGGCTGATCTCGAACAGCAGTCTCATCATGGGCAGGAGGGGGATGCGCTCGTTACTGGCCAGCGTCAGCACCTGGTGACGGTATTGTCGTGATCAGGTCACGGTGAGCGTCTTCTATTTTTGTCTTCCATCTATTGACTTACGTCACTTCATGTGATATCTAATGATTAGAGCCAGTTGTCAATTGTAGCGACAGTACAGGACATTACAGTGTGATCTTGACAGGAAATTTTCATTTAGATCAGCCTGCGTTTGACTTATTTCAGCCACTAATGTATCATGCGTGTCAACTTTGTTGATTACACAAAACTAGCACCAATGTTAGCCATGCATATCCCTGAAGTATGGCTACAGGCCTACCTTGTTGTCGTCCATGACGGTGTTGAGGGACTCGATCCACATGGGGTCGATGTCTCCGTCCAGCACGATCCACCTGGGCCCGTCCCCGGACAGGTTGGACATGTCCCTCATGATGGTGGAGAACAGCCCGTCCTTCCACTCGCGAGTCGCCGGGTTGATGCAGCCGAACAGCTCGTTGTTGGTGACGGCTTTGGGGTTGAGGTTCACCAACGTCGGCTTCCTCTTCTGCAGCTGGTAGGTTCTAGTGACAGAAAACAAAACCAGATTTTAACTTCATTGCAAACACATGTTCGAAGGCTAGTTGCGAGTACATACCGGATAGTGATGACGAATACAATGTGATTTAGAACCAGATCCTACTGTACACTACTTACTTGGGGCCGTTCGAATTCGCCATTCTCCGGATATTTCACAAGTCTAATAACTCACATGGCCAGTTCTAACGTGAGGTCTAGTAATGTCACGGTCTATCCAGTATTACTAAATGTCGTATTCAGATATTGTACCTGTTGAGAGACTTGATGACTTTTGTTTTTCCCGTTCCGGCGTTTCCGAGCACGAAGACACAGTGTCTGACCGCCAACAGTTCCTCCAGCTGGACCACCTTCAGCACGAAGTTGTCCTCCGCCTGCATTTCAAGACAGACGTTACAATTTATTCAAACTCGTTTCTTTTGGAGACTTCTAGGCTTATACAACGCGTGATGTTTCAAAATATTAGTGTCTGATATCAGCAATATGATCAACTTTTACAAACAAAACCACCTCACAATGTTAGACCGTACCTGTAGGTGCTGGTCCAGAACCGACTGCTTCACAAGCCCCTCCAGTTCAGGGTCGCGCTTTCGTGGAACGTCAAGTGCCGGGAACAGGTCTCCAATCAGACCCATGAAGATGGGAACGTCATCAGTGACGATCTACAAACACGGTAAAACGATTCTATGTCAGAGTCAAGTCAAGGCATGAAATGCAAGCACGCTCTTTCTAAATATTCAGTAAAATTGATAAGTCTGCACTTCCGTGCTTCTTTTCATTATCCATCCTTTGCAAGACAGAAATGCATCACCATATCAGGTATATCAGATACAAGACTAAAGTTAGGACAGACCTTGGGCAGGTTGAAGTCTCTCAGGGCTCTCATCAGGACCTGGTCCTCCGGGCGGGTCGGGTCACCACGCTTCAGCGCACCGGCCACAACCAACACCGACTTGATGGCACGGAGACCCCAGTCGTAGTGATGCTGTGGAGGCGGAGATATTTCAAGTTAGGTAACATGACGAAATGTTTGCAAGAGTCTCAGCAATGGGTACAATGAATGCACGATGAGTTTTGTGATCAGATTTCAGTTCAAATATCTAGACAAAAACACTTGTGTTATTCCTATTAGACGGTTCAACCGTAACAATGGTCCTTCGCCCCAGTGTGTACTTACCTGTTTGGACAGGAGCTCCCTGCACAGTGTGTACAGCGTGATGAACTTCCGTGCCAGCAGTTTGGCGTCCAAGAAGCCTTCTGCCACCAACATGATCTCGGCGATCTGCGCGAAGTCGGGCACCACCATGGCGCAGGGTCTGAAGAGCGCCTTCAGGTTCTCCGGCAGCTCGGTCCGCCCGGCGTACCCGGGGTTCATGGTGATGAACAGACCCACCGTCTTCGTCAGGCTGATCTCCTCACCCTAAGAGAAAGGTCATTAGTCACATGTTCCGTTAACACTCGATCAACAGATGGAGAGAAATGTGCCATATGCTAAATGTACATGGGACCTCACAACAGTTTTCATCAACTCAAATGCGTACGTCAAGTACCACCACCAGTAAGTAGAGGTAACCTCTCGCATCATAGTCGGCAGATAGTCTAAAATTGGTCGTATGATAATTACCTGGAACAGGAAGCGCTCCTTGTTGTCCCTGATGGCGCTCTGGATGCTCTTCACCTGCACGGCCACCACCGATAACACCTCCACGGAGATGCGGTTAAACTCGTCGAAGCAGCCCCAGGCTCCAGTCTGCGCCAGTCCTTTGTAGATGTTACCGATGGACTGGAACGGAAACAAAGATTTTGTGTTAAGTAATTATTACAAGACTACAGAATGCATGTTAAAAGCATCAATTGGTCAGACTATCGATGGTCAGACTATCATTGCTCCTTACCTTGTAGTCCATCTGTTCGGAGCAGTTGAACACATAGACCATGATGCCCAGCGCGCGTCCTAAATCCTTGGTTGTCTCCGTCTTGCCCGTCCCGGCAGGCCCTGCGGGTGCGCCTCCCATGATGAGATGGAGAGACTGCGTCAGGGTGATGTAACATCTGGGTGGGAAGGAGGGAAATAAAAATTCATCATTTATGTACTAACTAAGTTGAACAGATAATCTATTAGCCAATGCAATTTGGAGCCATTTTATCGATATCATCCACTTTTAGTAGAGAACCTTCACGAAGGTTCCGACACCAGTGACTGACCTGTCCGTGAGAGGGGTGATGACCAGACGAGGCGTGTTGCCCAGGTACTCGTACGCGTACAGGAACTGTGCATCACAGATGTTACCGAAGCAGTGCTGCTTTTCCTCGTCCCACCTACGAACAAATAGTACACATACATTTCTATCCTCAACGTAGTGTAGAATTGGACATACATGAACTATATGTATTAGGTACGTATGGACACAATTTTCGACCAGTACACAATGTACTTAAGTTAGAGAAATGTCATAGTACTTATGTTTAGTTCAACAAGTCTATCAACTCGTAACATTGTTGCGTGTTGCGTAACCATCCTGTCATAATTTTTCTCGGCTGTGAAATTCTCCTGCTCTTCCACTGACCTGTGTCTGAGCTGACTGAGCCAGATGAAGGCCTGCGCGTTGTCCACTTTCTGCGCGATCATCTTCTGGACCACATCTCTGTTGTGCACGTCGATGGTACAGATGGTCATGATCTTCTGCCGGTCTCCCGATGTCAGCTGACCAATCAGCAAGCCGATCAACGTGTTCAGCATGGTGATCTACAGTGTTTAAAATTCAAACGCCTTAGAAATTTTGAGCAGAAAAGTTTGACAGGTCTGTGAACATGGACCACAAGTAAAGTTTAGTCTATGACATACAAGGTCTTCGAATGCATGTGTCTTTGGTCCAATGTGCACCATGGACATAAAAAGAAACGCACACAAGACAAAAGTTTGTTGTTACCTGTTTCTTGTTGTAGTCCTTCAGAGCGTTCTCGTACCCTTCCTCCAGCCGCCCGAATGCGATGTTGACCTCCGTGGACCACCAGATCTGTGAGCAGTTGAGCGCGCACTGCGCCGGGTACTCAAACAGCCACTGGTCCCTGGGCTTCTCTTCAAACGTCACCACGCCCTCCGTGAACTGTTGTCGCACGGTCGCACGAACACGGTCCAACAGTTTGTTCAACCAGATCTCAACCTATCAAACCATAAAGGAATATAAGGAAACCAATTAGAATTAAGAATAGTCATAGTCGTATTTCACAATTAAAGAGGATCAGTTTGTACCACGGGTCTTTCTTAAAGTCTTCTCGAAAACTTGTAAATATTTTGCCTACCTGGCCGTCCAGCTCCACCGGTTGGTCGAAGTCGCAGTACTCTCCCTCCTTACTGTACATGCCGGTAGCTGTCTTGGTGAACTGCCCGTTTTCGTCCTCCTGGAACTTCAGCTTAGCTGTGTTGTCAAACAACTTGGGCAGATGCCTAGCCACCTGGAGCGAAAGACAACTCTGGTTTACACCGAAATTCTATATCTTCTTCTTATGTAGCGATATAGACGCTTACATATATATCTATGTGTCAAGTCTGTCATGCAACATTTGATACTTTACAAGTGTTAATTTTGTGTATGCTGTGTCAAAATATTGCCTGGACTACACATTGTTAGTTTTGTTACTTCATGCTCAAATAGTTCATGAAGATATTAAGAATCTTTACTAACGTTTACTAAGCTGTGATTGCTATGTTTAAGACTCTGTCTTCATCACTAAGGCTATCTGAGGCTATGATGTTTACCACTGTTGGCTGTGTGCCGTTAGACAGGATGTCCAGAAGGTCAGCCGAGGACACGAAGTAGAACCTGGGGAAGGCCAGTCGCTTGGTCTCCAGGTACTCAGCCAGGGCCTTTTCACACAGGGTCAACCTGGGAATGAGATAGGAATAAAAGTTAAAAAAAAAACAATTTCAGTTACGATGTTAATTAATTAATTTGTGGAATAACGTCTCCTATTGTTTCAAGTAAAATGTAACACCTGAAGCTATCAGACGGGTTCTCCTTACCTGCTCTGGATCTCCTCCAGTTTGTCATACAGGTTCGGCTTGTTGGTGGCCACGATGACATTCGGTGTCGTTTCTGCATCCGCCATCAGTGCCTAAACACGGAGACAAACTATTAAGTGTTTGTTGAACACTAGCAATGTGTTCTGTAATCATTTATGTAGCATCAACGTAAGCAACTGTCAACTGAAGTATTCTACTCTACAATACACTAAGTTAGAAATCATGGTTGGACGAACCTTGAAGTCCACGTCAATCCCGTCGAATCTCTTGGAGTCCTCGGGCAGCTGGTTCCGGATGTCCTCGGAGCCGATGAAGATGCTCTCCAGGTGAGACCAGGTGCGCTGCACCTCGAACCAGATGGAGATGACGGAGTCGGCGTTCGACAGCTTCTTCTGCCAGCCAGACACCTCCTCAAGGAAGTGGGCGATATACTTGGACGTCATCAGGTTTTGGATTTGTACCTGCGTTGCAGAAGTATTATTAGTATTACAAGAATAACCGTCTCTGCCACATACAACACATATGTAAGCTACCTCAGGTCTGTTGCATAGTTCTTTTCTCCGGGCCCTCTTCTCTTTTGCGATGACATTTACTGATGTAACTATACGCGTAATACACGAGAAGGTATCGAGTCCTGATACCTCCGAACATAAGTCTGTAGGAAAGGGTTATCATACCTGGTTGTCCTCGAGGGTCTCAATCAGCTCCTCGTCACCCTTGAGCAGCGGTGTTTTTGTGCGCGAGTGCGGTTCGTAGGTGAACTCCATGGCGGACCAGGTGGCGTCCATCTCCTTCAGAACCTTCTCCATGCCCATCTCCTTCACGGCCTTGTCCACGATGCCCTTCACCTCGTCCTCGAAGTTGTGCAGGTTCAGCGCCAACAGGTCATCCAGCTTGGTGGACTCGTCCATGACGAATTTCACCTGTCAAGAGGGAACACAAATATGCTTCACATCAGTCGTGTCTCCTACAGAGCAATGTTGAAAAAGGTAAAAGAATTTAAATTTGCATACGTTACCTCATCATTGGCTATAACCTACAAGGTTCTATTTCTACGAGTAACATACCTTTGTCGCCATCATGAGCTCCTGCCAGTGGCGGTCCCGGATGGCCGGATTCTGCAGTTCTCCCACGGCCCGCATGGAGGTCAGCATGTTCTTGACGGCGGAGTCCATCCCACCGTAACTGTCCCACGCACGCATCTCCTTGTCCAGCGACCTGATATCCTTGGCGAACTTCTTGCATTCGATCTCCATGTTCTCCACGTTGATCTCGAGCCAGGGCGTTTTCTTCCAGTCGTCGAAACTCGTCTTGACGAGGATGATCATGTCCCAGAGAACCTTGAGCATGCGCACCTCCTTCCGGCAGGCGCGGAGTTGTTTGTAGTCGGGGATGGCGACCTCGAACAGCCCGCCGGCCTCCTGCAGGGCCTGCATCTCCTTCTCTAGAACCGTGATCTCTAACTGGATCTAAAGACACAAACAAGAACCGTGATCTCTAACTGGATCTAAAGACACAAACGCAGGACAGTGTTGACTAACGACACGGAAAACAGATCTGGCATCTACCCTCTACAAAGTGTTTCCTACACCAAGCAAATTGTGGTCCCCATGCCAATCTCGGTTAACAATAACATAAAGATAAACGCATGGAGAATGCCTACACAGCGGTATTCGTCTAGTATAAAGTACATCAAGCATTCGTGCAAGAATGTACTACATACCGTGTCCAACACGTCGTACGGGTTTTTGGCATCGTATCTGAGGAACGGCTGCTGACGGAACTTCTCCCTGAACTCGTGCTGCTTGATCTGTCAGGTTCGAGAGATGAGTCATTAGACACTGTCAGATATAACTATAACAATTTCACTAGATCGAGGATATAGCATTGTGGAATACGCTGTAACTGTAATAGCGTCGGTTTATCATACAAACATGTTATTCATGGTACTGAAGATTCCTATCACGGTATTACAAGTATACATAAACGGCATTAAGGAATGATAGACTGTAAAATTTTAACATCTTTTTACAAGCATAGAAACTCTGCAGAAACTTCTTAAAGGTATCGTTAGATACGATATGAGTGAATGTCGGTACTTACATCAAACTGGCCACATTTCCGCCGTAAGATGGCGACCTCGTTAGCCTGTAGAGGCGCCACCGCCTGCTTCACTGTCACAGAGATCTTCTTCGTGTTGTTCCACTTTTCTGGTAACGCCTGAGTGTGAAGAGTGTGGCACAATAGTTCAGCAAACATAACGTCCTACGATCGTACAAGTCGTCGTAATATTTCATGAAAATGCTTGATTCTAACCATGTTATTTGTTGGTCCATTAATCTACGTTATTGTTTTCTATTGCATATTGCATATCGTTGTAGGTAGCATTTTTAGCACTCCAATTCGGCACATTCTGAGTACCTAACGGGAGAAATATCGACAAGCACTGGCAAATCCCTGCTCCTACCTGCAACTGGGCATGCACTTCGTCCGGCAGTTCCTGGTCGTACTGTTTGAGCAGCTCGATGGTGTGTTTGAGAGGCTCGAACATCTCGTCCGTGGCCTCCTGCCGCCCCTTGACGGCCAGCAGATGTTCCATGACGCCCACCAGTCCGTCATAGTCTCCCTCCTCCACGTCCTTAGACAGCCCGGCGTCAGTCACCGTGATGAACCCGGCCAGGTCGTTCAGACTGCGGGCAAACGAACATGTCAATATATACATACATGAAGCTATGGTTACTATGATAAGTTCAAAAAAAGATATGTTAAAAACTGGATCAAACTCGTCAGTAGACAAGTGTTCGTTACAAACCAGAATTTGCCACCAAAGTTGAAATCACCTTTTTACTAGCAGCAATTGAGATGTATCCATATCGAGATTTGTTTAGAATACATTAAAGTTAATGTGTGCAAAATTTGGTGCTTTCAGACAAAACTGTAGTATTTTTAGCTAAGCCGCTGGCCGATTTACAATGAGCAATAGAGGTTTTATCAACACTACAATACAGATAGACTCTGACTTGAGCCCAGACATCGTCCTCAAGTAGGTCATTGTTTGGGGCGCTTGTACCTGTTTGTGACGTGGTCGATGAGATGTTGCTTGAACATGAAGCTCCACTTCTTGACGATGTTGAGCAGGGCCTGTTTGAACGGCTTGGCGTCCACCCTGAACCAGTCGTCACACCGCACCATGCCCTGGATCTGGATCACTTCCTCGTAAACCTTCTCATATGTGTCAATCTGTGGAGGGAAGTTTTCATTAACGTTATAATTTATCGTGTTATTTCGTGTCACTAAAATTCATAATTCCGTATATAAATGACTGTTGAAAACAGTGTTTTGATTTCTTCTTTTGTGTGGTATCGTGTAGTGTGGCGTCGTGCTATACTGCACTATATGCTATAATACTAGTATGTTGCTGTTTTGTTGTGTTGTGTTGTGTTGTGTTGTGTTGTGTAGCGTTGTGTTGTGTTGTGCAGTGCTGTGTAGAGTAATGTTGTGTTGTGTAGTATTTGCGTGTGTTGTGTTTGTTTGTTTGTTTGTTTGTTTGTTTGTTGTGTTCTATTGTAACATATCCTGTTGTGATATTCTATGTTGTCATGGAGCCGATATATAGTTTCTCGCTGAAGACATTACCTGATCCTTGAACTGGTCCAGTGTGGGCGGACACTCGGGCACGCCTGTCTCCGCGTGAGCCTCGATCTCCTCCTGTGTCAGGACGTGGTTGTAGAGCAGGAACTGGCGCATGAACTCCTGCCTGTCGTCCACCCACAGGTACGAGTAGTTGTCGAAGGAGTTGCGATAGTCGCAGGCCTTGTTCATGACGGTCTGCACCCTGTCCATGGTCTCCTGTCGCATGTCACACAGCTCCTGCATGTCCTCCATGTCAGCCTGTAAAACAACCAATCACATGTCAGCCTGTAAAACAACCAATCATATGTCAGCCTGCAAAACAATCAATCACATGTCAGTCTGCAAAACAACCAATCACATTCGTTCTGTCGGGATTCTCCATCACTGTAAGCTTCTATCCCTGACTGATCAGCAAAGCCCATTCCGATCGCTAAAAGTTTTCTTGTGTTGTAACAAAAATTTGAACTTTAAACAGGTATCAAACTTTCATAACGCCACTCACCTGGTAGTGTTCCAGCCCGCTGTGATCGGCCAGCCGCGGCACCAGGGAGGCGATCTTGTAGATGTCGTTGATGATTCCCTCCACCATCTCATAGAAACCGTCGTTCACGCCGAAGTCCAGGGACGGCTGGAAGACCATGTCTGGCGCGATCAGCTCCATGCGTGCCTCGAACAGCGGCGCTGGGTTAAGCTGAAACATTGATTTTTGAAAAATGACATTATTTTATATTGCATGTCAAACACAGCGAAACGACTACTGACTTGCATTCCTTTCTTTGTGCTTTAATCAGAACTGCAATTTCTGTAATGGTGATGGTGATTATTACACTCGAACAGTTCAAAGTGCTGACACCAACCTTGACGTCTGTGTTGTCCAGCAGATAGTTGACTGAACAGTGGATGGCGTTGAAGAACCCGTCCACCACCATGTCGTCCACGTAGTCCACGTAAGACTTCCAGATGTCTGAGGACGCGTCCGCCTTGAACAGCGTCAAATTTTCCTGGTAGAAAAGAAAAGGCCCGGGCACTATTAAACACCAGCGTTAGATCAAAAATATTCAAGTAACTAGAAGCAAAGGTCCGCCATGCTCTAGGTCTGGTATTAAGTTTATCGTGTTAGTCTTTAAATCTTTTGACAGTTCCTTCACGATAACTTGAACTTCGAAGGAAAGGCTGCCCTACCTTGAGCAGAGCGTGTATCTTCTCTCCCGCCTCCTTGATCTCAGCGTACCGTTTGGGCAGTCTGTCGGCACGGTCGTCCAGGAACAGCAGGGCGTCTTTCTTGTTTTCTTTGCGTTCGAAGAGCGGCAGGACGCACCACTTCTCCATGATCTTCTGCATCTGTTCCACGTTGTCCTTGGCCTTGAAGACGCGCACGTGTAAGTCGTGAACCATGTCTCTTGTCTCTTGGATGTACTCCCACACTCCTGGATATAACAGAAAAAATTTTACCATTTTTTCTTAGTCCACGGACGTTTTAGTACAAGAAAGCAGGATCAACGGTAAGACCATAATAACAATCTTCAGGCCTTAGCATAGAAGTGACGTTGATAGGCCAAAACTTCGATTTATGTGCACCAAATTTGTTCTACTTGATTTTGTTCGAATAGCCCTTACCGTCGTCCTTCCAGCTGAGACTTTTCTCCGCGGTCTCCAGCTTGGTGTCTATGTCCTGCAGCTGGGTCTCGATCAGAGGGAGCTCCACTTCCAGGATATCCCGACGGACCTGCGAAGGTACATCAAGAGTGAGTGGTCGTTCTTCCGTGAGAACGTGCAATACGCCGGCACTGTCACAAACGCTAGGTTTCCTGAAATAGCTTGGTGATACAGACCTAAGCTTATGTGCGTTAAGACTGTCACATTACCTGGTTGTACCACGCCACCAGGAGGTCCAGATTGCGCACAAACTGCCAGAAGTTCTCCTTCTTACTGAAGATGTCTGCAGCGCTGCCCGGGATGTCTTCTCTCTCCTGGATCTCTAGATACTTCACCTCCCTCAACACGGCAATCAGCTAGACGAACATAAACACAGTACATTTTACAACTTGATGGCGCTTTCAAAGACACATAGTAGCAGAACCAAATTGCTGTTCTCTTGTAGATGCATGAGACCAACAAACGCTCACCAAACACGATAAAAGAGAAACTGTGCCCCACCTGCGGATCGAAGTTGACCTGGATCAGTTCTCCCTGGCGGGTCAGGAGAGGATTTGCCAAGTTGAACTTTGACCGCTCGTCCACAGTAGCTGTGAAACCTTCGTAGCAAGATTCCTCGTACCTTTTGTCAAGAAACATGTGTTAGCTTTAATAACGTTATGGTTGAACCATTTTAACTAGTACATTTCCATTTATATTTAAGAGAAAGGATGCCATAAATGATGCAATACATAAAACACTGTAAACAATTATAACAACTGAAATCAAACAGACTCTGTATAACTTACTTGTTGAGGAGCTCTTGCATTTCCTCAAACTTCTTGAAGATAATACCTGCGTCCTCGCTTTCCATGGACCTGTGAAATAAAATCAACTTGTTTAATTTCGTTTGTATTTATGTATATATCTTGTTCGCTCATTAACATCGGTGTTTATATGTGTTCATCATTCACTATCATTTGCGTTGCATTAAAACTGAAAATCCACCTACAACAATATCATAACTGGACTTACGGGTCCTCAATGAAGCGGAAGCCCCTCATGGGCGTGGCGATCCTGTCTCGGAGCTCCCGTGCCCACTCCAGCGCGCCGGCCACAGGCGGCATGTTCTTGTTGACAGGCGGGACGCCTCCGTTAGCAGCAGCGGCCGACACCTGTAACAACGTTCAAAACGTGTTGTTTTAGATACTTGTGGATAATGTGGTTGACTTTGCCGTTCTTACAGAAAGATACATGCAAAAATAAATAAATACTGTTTCGCAAATTTTCTTAACTTATATAACATAATAACGTGTAGTCGTGTACTCAATGTAAATGCATGTACTAACTGCCGAGTGGATTTTATCTATCAAATATGATTTTTTTTTCATTTACCTGGTCGTCGTACAGGACCTTGACTTCATCCAGCTCCCTGTCGTACATGGACAGGAGGACCATGTACTTGCTGCGGAAGTCTGCACTGATGGTGGGACGCTCCAGAAGTGGGCCGAAAATCTCAACCAGCTACAAGACGCAAACGGAAAGACAAGCGTTACCTCACAAGCCGTGGTTTTACTCCCAGATATCATAGTTACGTCAAAGTTTTGCACATGTGTCCCTGTCCTTGGTGCTGAAATCATCATTACCACAACACACCAACGGACAATGTTTTCGTGAGGGTTTACAAAGAACGTACAATGAGATGCTGCACGCTGGAATGCCGCCCTCACCGCATTGCGCAAAATCTAAACCAATCAGCTTAAGTTAAGGAAATTCGCCAAATTTCAGATCATTTAGAAATTTCATGATCATTTTTCACGTCAATTTTCTCTAACCTTGAAGGCGGCTTCGATGCCGCTGCAGTCGTCAAAGCCCTGGCAGGCGATGGCGCCGAGCCGCCGGTCGATGTCGTCCACTTGCTGATGGAAATTCTCCACGTCGGCATCAAAATCCTGGATACAGGGGGGGCAGAAACATGAACATAAGAAATCCGCTACTGGATCCATGATATAATGACAGACCTCTAGATTTTGAAGTCTTTCGTAACAATTTGGACAGGGGGCGCTGCATCCCTTACCGCGTTCATGGGGTCCAGCGGGTCGTATGTTCGCGCCCCGAACACGTTGTAGTACTCCTGGAACTCCTCAAACATCTTCTCCACCTGCGTGCTGAAGGCCTGGCCCTTGATCCCGGAGAACTCCACTTTCTCCAGCTTCATCAGCATGATGCCGGTCTCAAACAGGCCCTGCGGAAAATGACAGAAAAGATTTTAAATTTCTCTATGATCTACAAAGAGATCATTGTCCTATTACCTTACCATGCAAAACTCCTGGCCCTGGGTCAGTGTGCAAGGAACTTGATGCAAACGTCTATCTTTCTTCCATCTTATGTCTCATAGAATCTTAGGGAACAACGCTGTACATACATTTGGAAGACGAGGTTTACCTTGATGACTTCTATCCGCTGCACGAAGCTGTCCAGCCGACTGAAGACCAGCGAGTCCGCAAACTCCCACTCTTTCGGCTCTTTGCCGTCCTGGATTGAAAAGTTCGATAATGACACTGTCAACATTTATCAGGGGACAAAGTAAGTCAAACCTCCGAAAAGAACATTTTATCCGGTAAAATTTCTACTCGTAGGTGATCTTTAGATCACTCGTTTCTTCTTTTATATGTGCTCTACAGAGAAAAGTGGAAACATCAAACAAGTGCCGGGGAGTCACCTTGAAGTATGTCTTGAGCTTGGCCTTGTGAGAGTGGTACTCCGTTTTAAAGGTGTTCAGCATTTTCAAGACGAGGTTGACCTTCTCCAGAGAGTCTTCCATCTCGCCCTTGAAGATCTCATCCGGACCGAGATAGGTGCGCGACTGCGTAAAAACAATTACGTCATTAATATAACGATTCAGTCAATACATATGTAGTTTTTTTTAATCATCTTCAGATCTAATATTTTTGAACGTCCAATTAATATGTTCGTACAACAATGATTTGCTCTGTCCCCTAAACTACCCATAGGACCATGCGTCCCCCATCATGCAATGGTTTCCTTACCATCTCAATGAAGAGGTTGCAGACTTCCTGCAACATGACGACCATCCTTCCCGGCATGCAGTAGTGTTTGGAGTTGGCCCAGGCCAGGCAGAGGACGTGGAAGAGCGGCGCGATCATGGACGGGAGGTCCTGGCACTCCGCCTCCTCCATGTCCTCAAACATCCGCCGTAACGTCTTCAGGTGCATGTTGATGTCCACTGCCTCAGACAGGGCTGTAGGGTATGTGACGATGGCAGCTTACTTAAAGGGGCATTATGTAACATTTTGGACAAAAATTTGAAACAAAAATTATTTAAAGATATATTCGTATGATTGTAATTTTCTTCCACTTTTCAACACATTTATGCAATTATCTCCCATTTCTGACATTTATGGTTGGCACTAAAACAGCCCACACGAGGCACACTTTGAATCACCCGTGTCTTACCTGCTACCACGTCCTTGAAGATGTTCTTGAAGGCAGGGAAGTAGCTGCTCTTCATCTTCTCCAAGATCCGTCCCATTTTCCGTACTCTGTTCTCCCGCAACTAGGTATAGAAAGTATTCACTGTGTTACTACACTGTTAGATATTTCCGCAAGTATTATTAAGCACTTGAAAAGTGCCGATATACTTATGTAATGTAAGTGCCTGTCCTTGGTGCTGAAGCCACCATTACCACAACACACGTTTTCGAGCGTGGTAACAAAGAATAAAGCGACACCACCTAATGACAAAATATTCAACATGAAATTATGTGTGAAAGTCTACTTTCAAATTGGTAGTTTGATACTTAGGGGACGTACTTGGTCATTGTAGTTACCCATAGAGATTGGACCATAAAGAACAAACTAAACCAAGGCAAAGTAAATTAACAACCTGGTCATAGATGCACTCCAGGTTGACCGCCCGAGCCTTCCAGAAGTCCAGCTCGGCGTACGGAGTGGGGTTGAGCCCGTCCAGCAGCGGCTTGGCGGAGTCCCTGGACAGCACGTCCCGGATCTGGTGTGACCACTCGATCACGATCGACTCGATGGAATGCAGAAGGTGCCGGTCTGATGTTTCCTCCCTGGAAATAACCAAGTACAAAATTCATGTCTTTTGAACTTCGAAGCAACAAGTATATAAAAGCCCTGGACTATTGGGACGAGAGGGTTTGCTTATGAAAAACATAAAGGTGATGCTCATATGATATAATCGAAACGTAAATGCAATATGACCAGAATTAGATACCATATTTGTCACATGACCATAGACAACTCCCATTTACTTGGAATGCAAAAAGGAATGCAAACTTTGACTTTAAGGTATCGATTGCATTTTGGGAAGTAGCAGCCAGGAGTTCATAACGGAGTCTTACATTGTAACGTTTATTGAGAAGGGCAAGGTTACACATGTGTAACAACAAGACGTTCTGAACGTACTTTGCAGGCTCGACACAGTCCACGCGCTCGGCGCCTGCGGGCAGCGGCAGCAGAGTCTTGCCCTTGACCTGCCCTCCCACCACGTACACGTTACTCTTCAGGTTGTGCACGTGGCGCATGACGTCCTGACACACCACGTTAGGCCAGCCGTCATGGTTCCTGTCGTTCTGCAGCATAGGCACGATAACCTGGGGGGAAGAGGTGGGGTGTCATCAGCGTCCCATATATGTCACCGTGTATTGTACCTTCAGAGTTGCTTTAAATTAAAGTATTCTCAAGTATGTGGCATCACGTGGCGTGATGGTCAGAACAATCGGCTCGGGAGCTCGTAGCTCATAACCAAGATGGGTTCTATCCTCTGATATATATGCCTGATGTTATACCTTGGGAAAGGCACTTCACACGACTTCCCTCCGTGTACGATGGAGTAACGCTCATCAGGCCTCTCGGGTAATCGTTGATACAGTGTCCAAACACTGATGAGGACACAGACGGATTTGGTATCGCCAATGGGCCAAGATCTGCACATTTGCCTCTTAGAATCGTACAATTTTCTTTATTCTCAAGTTTGAACCTCATGTTTATGGTTTCTATATACACATAGTGAATTTGTCTATTTGTGCAAATAAACATTCGTCCACATACACGTCACCTTCGTCAGACCAAAGTCCGATTATTTGACCAGTTACACAGATACTGGCTTTTAAAATCTACAAATAATAAATGCCCAATACCTGAAAGCATTCCAAATGTTAACAGGTGTTTATCATAGCCCATTGTGCCAGGTGTGATGATGGTTTCTTCATGACCCATCATTCTTATCAATGCATTCTTTCGCAGCTAATTATCTCGGCTTGAGCATGATTAAAAGGTTACAATTCAGCTTAACATTTGGTGCCGCGTGATAAAGAGTCCATCAATAGAATGAATACCTTTGCCACTAGGAGCATGAGACTATCCATAATCATTTAAATGGCTGCTTAGAATCGTTTAATTCAAACGCCTACCGTGTCCCTACCACCATCAATATAACACAGGCCTTGAATAGTCGCGAAAGAATTATTCTTTTACAACCCAAGCAGAAGAGCGGGGGAGGGATATCCCTTCTGTTCTTGTCATGTTGACGGTAGCAACCCCCATAACAGCCGTCTATCGGCCCTTGCCGCGATCCTAGTAACGCCATGATCTCTTATTATCTACTACTCTGGTGGGAAGGTTTACTATGGTAGCTGCTATTCAATCAAACGTGCAACATTTTACAGTCGCAAAGACACCTGTGCGTTTGCCACGAAACTGCTATATAAGTGCCTCAGAAATCTGGGCGTAACGGCTTTGCGTAGAGTACATATTTACCGTGTAATTACTACTCCCCAGGCGAGACTGTGTTATCTAATCAAACGGTGGGCAGGGTGTAATTACTGTGCTAACGTTTGGCGGTTGTGAGACAAAACTTGGGCGAACATGTCAAACATATATGTATGATCATGACTGTAGTTAGATACAAATGTGTGAACGGTCAATGGTTTCCTTTAATAAGACCTACAGGTGCCACATAAATCATTAGTGAGCCTAAATACCCACAGGGATTGTTTACCACTCACAGGCAAAGAGCCAAATGTCACGCACCGTCACCCATACTGCACCATTCCTACGTCTACAATAGAAAAAGGGCGTGAATGTGGGCTCTGTAGGCCATCCTTCATTTCAATAAGCAGATATTTCATCATCAGATGCCATCATAATGACTTAAACTACTTCTTTACTATACACCTAGTATTTCATGTAAATCTTTAATGTTTCATAGAACTTCTTCGCTGCGATGACACATTTACAACGTTACAAAAGAACAGTCATTTTAAACGATGCGTAAGGATAATATGGCTATTGTATTGCTAATCCTGCGGAAATGTAGCTTGTGAAAAAGGGCGCCTAGGTGGGTTAATATTTGTCCTGTCTTCCTGCTGAATACGTTGCGTGACTTGCGAGTACAGAGTCCTGACAGACTCTCCTATACCCCATACTAACCTCCCTTCTTTGTTTACCGTCACCATGACAACGTTAACACTATATTGCATAGCCATGCCGGTACCAGAGGACAAACGTCAAGGGCATGTGTGTAAATAAACACGAGAAGACACTTTACGTGGAAAACTTCAAAGGGGTACAGCACGCTGTTTTAACAGGTGCTACTGTTGGCTCTATCAAATATAGGAACACGTTAAGATGAATGTTTTGTTACATCGGGGGGTGTGGGTAGCTATTATAGAACAGCCAAGGTTGAAAATAGCTGAAACTGATCTTGATGTTTGTTTGCTTTAGCAGTAGTTGAACAATAGCCCAAAGTGTAACGTGAACTTACCGGACCATTTTTTCTTCTTCTAAATTTGAATGATCCGGTATAAACCGGCTAGGAGGCTAGTACGTGGGTACGTAGACAGGTAGACAGGTAAGACGTTTGGAGGAAACCCAAGACGGAAAAGCAGGCATGTACAATCTGGTGGTGACTTGCAAAATCAAAGAAGAACAACAACCCAAACTTCGTCATTGAATTACTAGTAGTAACCACAAGAGTCGAAAACTGAGACAAAAACCAAATAAAGACTAAAGCCAGTACCGTATTTTGGTGTTTTCGTTATGTAAACACTACATAGCTATCTGTATTGAGCAAAACTAGGCCAAAAACAAACAGCGGATTTTATTAAATGCCACAAAACCTTGTGTCCACAAAGTTAAACACGCTGTACAGAGTTACCCCCACGGCCAGGCAGCTTTATCAATGTTTGATCATGTTTGTGCTTATTAAGCTTGGCTGTCAATCCCTAGTTTATAAACTACCACAGTGGTCGATCATATCCCTAGACATGTCTGTTCAGCAACAGGGAATCCTCGGACCATTTCTTTCTTAAGATAACAACATTTAACGATTTTGTCCATCTGAACCTGAATTTGTGAGTGGGCAAGCTTTGAATTCGGTGTTAGTTGATAATCGATGACAATCTATAACCTGTGAGTAGTTTCGTGCTAGTGTTTTTATAACATGCCAATCGTAATCTTTTGAATGTTCACATCGTACCATCTGTATATTTCTGAGTTCATAACAAATGTTCCATGCGACGTTTTTTGTATATATACACGTACAAACCATGACAACTGGTCAGTCGTTGGAGGTCAAAAAAAGGTAAACATTGATTCTTTCTGTGCTAGGTAAATACTGGGTCGGTAAACGTTCTTTGTAATGTGTTACTCTGTTTGCTAAGTAATGTAATTAAAAGTGTGGGAAAAAGCAAACATAGGCCATTACGAGTATAAGAAGGTCGAATGTTAAATCTTCAAGAAGCACGACTATCATTGAGACTGATTTTTCTCTAAATATAAGTATGCCTAAAGTGCCCTCAGGCCAAAAGATAATTAAAAGGTACTCGAGGACGTTTGGTTCAAAGATGGCCCTAAGCGGGTGAGAGGGAAAAGCACGAAAACAACCGTTGGGGCCTGTAATTGTAGAATCTGGCCTAATTATGAACAATGACGACTGTGATAAACAAGTCTAAATGTAGGACATCCCGATAGATGAGACACTGGAAAACATGTTTTGTGACAGTGATTCAAAACAAAAACATCCCGGTATCATACCGACCCCCTCCTGGTCATGATGACCTCACTTACCACTGTAAAGGCTAGGCTGGGACGAAAACATCGTTAGATGTAGATCTATTCTATCGCCAAGGCAGCCAGGAGGTTCGTGTTCGCATTTATATCACGAAAATAGCTCCCGTCCGCCTCAACATTGTCTGAGACTTCAAAACAACGTCATCAAACTTGCATCTATTTTACCACCAAGGTAGCGAAGAAGGTCGAGTGCTAATTTGTAACCCGTAACTTTGACAGAATCTTAAGAGAGGTTGTGGGGTTTACAGCCAGTGCATCTATTCTCTGGGCCTTTCTTTTAATTGTAGTTTCAACATAGAAACAAAGATGGTCCCTAAACACAGTCTCAAAGCACACCAAACATATTTGTGGGCGTACGTGTGTCGGAGCATAACAGTGGTGGTTTCCAATAAAGGACTGGCACGCTTGTACTGTAGCATTCAATGTACTAACTTATGACAGTTTTCCAGTGTGCAGTATTGCTAATCATAGGTTTCAGACATCGTACATGGACAACCAAGACGAATTAGTCTTAAAATATGTTCACTATGTATACCTTTCTCGTACGTGTATAACGTTATGTTTGTAAACATAGGTTACTGTATGTAGAAAATCTGTTTTCAAACGTAACTGCCTAACCTTTCAATACGCTGTAAGTGCGCACGTTGTAAACGATTCACATTCAACTGGAGCCTTGCTAGTATTTCGTGGTCATTACGGTTTAGTTTGAGTATATACGTCCCTAAATATCGATTATATGGATTATACTGCCATATATTCATTGTTGTTTTGAAAGATGAGTCAACCGTCTAATCCATGCACTAAACATACCCATCCTTTGATGACGCATAGTGTGTTATACAAGAAGATAGAACAACATATTTACCAACATAACTGTCTCCTGGAGAAATGTCATAAACAAGTGGATCATCTTACGTCTGAAACTAACGTATTTCCTTCGTAGTAATCGTTGTTTTAGTCCATATTGAGGGTGGGTATACGTACTAGAGCGGTAGTGAGTGAGTGGGTAGGTATGAGTGTAAGCACAACCATAACAAAACGGGGCTTTTAATTCAGCAAATATCATAACATGAACAAACACTGCTACTAGCTTAATGTCATTAAGGATAGAGAAAGGAACTTACGTCATCGACTAGTGCCGAGAGCTGGTCCAGTGGTGAGTAGGACAGGTCGCCTATGAACAGGTCTGTTCGCAGGCTGTCTGTGCCCTTGATCGGTTCCTTCCTTTTCTTGATGAAGTACACGGCCTTTCCCTTCAGGCTGGTCGGCATCTCGTTGGTGACACTCAGGGTCCCGGCGGCGTTGGCCAACACGAACAGATGCGTGTTCTCCGCCTTGTCGAAAAACTCGTGCAGCATGATCCTGGTCTCTTCCTGCCCGTAACATTTCGCCCATTTCTCCGGCTTCTGTTTGAAAGTCTTCAGGGCGTACTCACTGATAAACTCCACGCGACCGTCTGCCGCTTCCCCCATGGTGAATCTCTCCTGTTTTACTGACCAAACTTCGCGTTTAAATCCTTACAATCGGGTTTTCTTCTCTCTCCTCTGATGTTTACTCCCTTCTCCTGTCAGCCATAGTTTATAGAATGATAAAGTCCAGCAGTTTATTCGCCCGCGGCACTGTTTACTTTGTTTCCCAAACAAAGTGTTGTCTAGGGTTTCACCTGGATGAACGTGTCAATGGGTTAGCCTTACTATCTACGCGTATTTGTTACGACACCGGACACGGAGCGATGGCCAGTCACAAAGGCATGGCCGTTGTTTGTGAGAACACGAGCGACTTAGCTTTCACTAAGCGGTTTTGTTAGTGTAAATCGTTCCCGTCAGCCGGCCATAGACTGGGTGTCGTTTGAAGGCCCGTCGCCATGGCAACGGCGGGCGGGTCACGTTTACTCGGTGTACCTGCCGTTACCTGGAGGTGGATCGTGTGTCGGGGAGGGCTCGAGATGACTAATTTGGATTAGTACAGGCAGGCGCAGTAGGGGGTCCCGAGTACGTGACCAGGGGAGCACAGGGAACCATATTACGGTACAAGGTCCGGCGGGCACAGGTGTCCTCGGCTGAAGGAGAGGAGACGTACATGTAGTCCGCGGCTACTGGCTGTTGTTGTTGTTGTTTACGAATGCTATTGTCTTTCATTATTGCTGATAGGTCTATAGCACATACGCGACCGCCGATTGTACAGTTCCTCATAAGTTTACAAAGTTGATAACACGATCATAAAGAGAGCTGTAACAGGAATATCCCACACTTATAGTCAAGTTAGACATATCATGACGGTTGGAACGTAAACAAGCACGCTTCGGCAGTCAGTTTAAGCCCCTGTTTTAGACTCAGGTAAACGACACCAGCCCTATGCTGGGAAACGGGCGACCTTTCGTCAGGAGACGGATATCTGTCACGGCGGCTTGACCATGAACTAGTGCAATAACAACAAACGCCTGAACAATTGTCAGTGGTATTTCTGGCAAGCCTGCGGGCTAACATACCGTAACAGCAAAGGGGTGAACGTGCTTCCGATGTTCGTTACAAGCTGGGACTGATGCAAGGACCGCCTTAAACTATTCAAAGGAGATAAATAACAAAGATGCAGTGGCCTGGGCCTGGTAATGTCCCCAAGAATTTGGCAAAGCACACTGGTAGCCTCCACTTTTGTCTTTTCTCGACATGTATGTTGGGCTCTTTAACGCGAACCAATAATGCACTGGACCCATTGCTTGATATTTCCTTCCAAGGACGATGGACAACTTGGGCAAGCTTGTCTCAACAAATTCTTTTTCTAATAAAACGTTGAGATACTTATATCTGATGTGTTTGCTCTTCTCACGCGGCGTCAGGTGTTCTTTGAAACTGTTAAAGTGTGCCGGGTCGGAAGTAACGGGGCGGCTTGTGTGCGCAGCGCCACGTTGCGGGCTGAACGATGCATGCAGTAGAGCGCCGCCTTGCATGCAGAGCTATAATTGCAGGGGCGCTCGCTCACTACAATGTTGATTACTGATTTCATAAAATGATCAACCATCTACAAGTACAGTACAGACACATCAAAGTACAGGAATGATAAAGGAAATGCGTTTATTGCAAAATGACGTTCCTACTATAAACATCTCATAGTCAAGATATGGCAGAATCTCTTTGTTTTTTACATGCTGTTGCACATAATAATAATTCTGGTGTAAGTATCTCAGCCATCTCAATGGACGCACAAAAACAACAGTTCAGCATTGGCCGTTTGTCACATATGCACAACTAGCAAGGCTCACTATAATCCCTACAAGTCTTCAGATACAATGGAATGCACACATATATGCAACTCATATAGTCAGAGTAAGTTTGGTCCAAAAATAGGATTTGCAAGTACAGTACATGTATAAGAAACAAATTCAGTTGTAATCTTACTGTACAAAAAGAAAACGTTACATAAAAAAAAGAGAAAACGTTTTTCTGTATGAAAAAATACAAAATAAACTGGCAAGCTGATGACTTGATAGATTCACATCTTTCTGTACTTTTACTCCAGACATGAGACGCAACACCTGTGGACATATGTATGGTCTAAATGATTTATACAACCTGTGGAAGACAGAACAACATGGATAATACAATATGCACACAAGGGATGGGTAGGCTTGCCAGTTGAATGTCATCTGATATCTGTAGCTGAGTGCTGTGTGCACTGACGGCACTACATGTACACCTCCTGACTGGTACATAGATCCCTGCAGTATTTCTTGTATTATGTCATAGCAGCATGTAAATGTTCTCCCCAACATTTACTCCTTCTGAGGATTTTGCTGGGATCTAAAGTAATGATAAAGAGTTGGTGCCCTACAACTCCAGAGCCTTGTGCCTAACACTCAAGTCAACTTTTTTTCCACTTTTCTTCGGGTACATGAACACCATAACTGATACAGTGGGGAACATATTTCAGCCTAGTTAACAGTCATCAGAAAACTGGTCATATTTTCTAATGTTATTCACTCACACTTCCAGCGCTTTTGGGACCTTCCCACAAGCAAGTTGAACAGCAGCCTTGGGTCTATTTTTTCTGGCACAGACTCTCGTATTTGTTACTTCAGGGCTTTCTTGAGATCCTTATACCTTTTTTCATACTTTTCATACTATCAAACTAAGGTCCCCAAAGCACTGGCATTGTAAGCTATTCAATCATCATCATAATTTTTTTTTCTTTTTCTACCAAATCACTGCTTACTGTGTCACTTTGTTACTTTACTGGCAGCAATAGTTGCAACTATAACGTTACATTTGCATTATCTTTTCTCTGAACACACCATCACAGACATTAACCCACACTCATGACCTTTTCCTTCATTGAAGGTGTGCTGCAGATATGACTCATCCACTGGAGGATTTTGTTGTGGTATGAAACAACATCGCAACACTTTGTCTGCGGGTTTCTTCTTATCCTTCATGGTACATCTAACATTGCAAACTTGATATGGCACGATATTCAGGGTATGTCTGTCTTTTGCAATAAAAGGAGCAGAGTGGTAAAGAACTAAACAGTCAGCAAAAACTTAGGCAAAGAAAAACGGGCCTTTAAATGGGTGAACATGAATTTACACAACAAACTAGGGAACTGTTTGTTCATTGAAGTTGTGGAAAGAAACAGTCATGGCAGAAAAACCCTCCAAACTACAGACACACATTTGGCAAGTTGTCTTTGGTAGTGTTGGATATGTCATCGAAAAGAATATCTGTAGAAACACTATCAAAGACTTGGTTAAGAAAAACAGAGAAGGGATCCACCCCTGAGGTATCACCAAAAATGGCCCTAAACAGACAAGTCTCCATTCTTCTCTTGTGTATAACCATGGGAACCCTGATTTGTGACGGTAAGGCCACAGCAGTAGAGTCATATTACTAATTCTCTATTATCTCACTACTGTTTACATCTATCTTTTCTACCATTTTTAGAGTTTCAACTGTATAAAGTTAGTGTGTCTTTTAAAAAAAGGCTGTGCATTGTTTCTGCAAGGTTTGGTTCAAAACAAAAATTGATATTATAATAAAGTCTGTTCTCTTGATTCCAGTTCCATGATTGCATTTGTTACCTTCCCGAAAATTGTCTCTCAAATGACGCTTGGCTGCTTCGGTTCAAATGTTTAAGAGGAAATAATATTTGTAGTAACACAATGGTAAGAAATTGTGCGGGTCAGCTTGCTCATTCTTTTTATGTTCACTAATAGCACCACCAAAGATGACATGCACAACTGAGGTGCAACAATACAGTACTCGCTTTAACACTACAACTATAGTTCTTTTGATTAGCAGAGCAAAGAGACAGAGCAAGTTAATACTAAATGCAACTCTTCAATCTTTAGACTCACTACTGGCCTTGAGTAAGTTCATGGGTAACTTTAAGAAAAAAAATTTACAGATCTCCAGTAAGAGACTGCAGATATTTCCTCATGTTGGACATGGATCACAGAAAGAAAGATGGCAACAAAAGGAGGTGGAAATAAGAAAAGGAGAAACTTAAGCTGTGTTGATAGTGCAAAAGACAGGTCCTGTTGGTACATCAGCCTTTGGCATCAGTGGGTCAGAGGTCACTCGTACTCCACCAGCTGCTTGTGATAGAACAGGAGGTACCTGGGTACAAACAAGAAAACATGTCAGCTCAACAGTTCAACACTTATGGATTCTGTTTCTTTGTCTTTATGATATGATAGCTCTGTTTAATGATTCTTCAGCCTGTACTCCTGTCTTGTATATATAGAATACAACACGGTGTATTCCGTATCGCCCGAGGTACCAGCCCGACCGCGCGTCGGATCGCCCGACGGCCGAAGGCCGGAGGGAGATCCGATCCGCGGGAGGGCTGGGACCGAGGGTGATGCGGAATACACCGTGTTGTATTTTATTTATGTCATACCCACCCAAGAAAACGCGCCTTTCAATGCGAAATGAGCGAAAATTTGGTGTCCCTAAACCCAAAAAATGCGACAACATCAATTCCAACGTCCGAATTTTGTATTCCAATTTCGAAATCGGTGCACACGGTTAGGCCGAAACGCGTTCGAATCATTCCACGGAACATTTGGAAGGGCCGGGCCGTACGCGTTCAGAACCCCCGGGCTGTACCGCTAGTTATCACACGGGCCGGAACACCCGTATCGAACGTAATTGCGGCCCAGGTAGGACATAATATAATTTATATCATATCAATTTATATATTTTTGTTCAGTACAGTTTTGTTCATTTCGTAATTTGTTCCTTACCCTTCACTATTGACTACATCTGCACAGAACATCATCCTTACCCTTCACTATTGACTACATCTGCACAGGACATCATCCTTACCCTTCACTATTGACTACATCTGCACAGGACATCATCCTTACCCTTCACTATTGACTACATCTGCACAGAACATCATCCTTACCCTTCACTATTGACTACATCTGCACAGTATATCATCATTACCCTTCACTATTGACTACATCTGCACAGTATATCTAGCCTGGGTACCATCCCCAGTAGTATATTCGCAAACTCTATAACTGGGTCTGGACTTGCACACATATGTAGCGTCTGGAGTCTAAATATTCGTTCAGATTTTGAACGAGCGCGCTGATTGGTCCTACTCGTCTAAGCCCTTTTTTGGGTGTGTACATATTAGGTAAGGGCTGTTCGTATGTCCGAACGGCGACGTTAGCGTCCGTTCGAACGTCCGAACGCCTTATCATCAACATGTCCGACGGCGAACCGAACGCTACAGCGCACATGATATAGCCGTAGTCAGTCTTTCCGTGATAAATCATCAACATGGCTGACGCACAAGCCGCTCAGCTCACGGAGGTTGATGTTGACCTCGCAATCACGTCCGTTTTGGACGATTTAGACGGAATATCGTCGCTCAAAAATGAGCAAAAAGATGCATTGAATAATTTCGTTCGTGATGTTTTGGGCGTCCTACCGGTAAAAAAAAGAACGCGCCAAGAAAAGGAACACTCGCACGAAGATCTGTGTTTACAAAACAACAAACATCACTTGAATAATGCAGGCGCGACATTGGCCGTCGCCTCTGAGGCTTAGCCAATCAAATGAAGCCCCGCTGCTCGGGCTAGCTCATTACGTGACGTCATGACCAATCGTTTTATATGTGTGCAAGTCCAGACCCAGTTATAGAGTTTGCGAATATACTACTGGGGATGGTACCCAGGCTACAGTATATCATCATTACCCTTCACTAATGACTACATCTGCACAGTATATCATCCTTACCCTTCACTATTGACTACATCTGCACAGTATGTCATCATTACCCTTCACTATTGACTACATTTGCACAGGGCATCATCCTTACCCTTCACAATTGACTACATCTGCACAGAACATCATCCTTACCCTTCACTATTGACTACATCTGCAACGGTGGCCTTGGTGATGATGTCATCCTCGCAGCGGAACCACTGGTCGCGGTGCTGGCGGATGAAGCACGTGTAGTGGCCGGAGTCTATGGAACCTCGGTGGTTTACAACAGCAAACAAGGAATATCTACAGCAGGAAGATAACAGGAATATGATTCACCAGTTCTGACAAGGTTAACTTACATGACTGTACACTATGGTGCTTTCTTCCATAGTCGGCACTTTCTAGCAGCATTACACGTACACCAACTTTGTCTCTAGGTAGGATATACATGTAGGTACTTTAAAATAATTTGTTGCAGTGTTTTGAAATAAAAACAGATGGAAAGTGTAATGCATGAATCATAGAATCTTTTTATGCTACAATTTTCTCAGCATATACAATGTAGATGCTACACATGTATACAGTAGGAAATGCCTAACTGTTTCTACTACTTCTTCCACCTATCACACAAAACAGATAAAAATAAGAATTTGCTGAATAACTGCTAGCAAACAGCTCTGGCTATATTCATGCATATTGAGATACATGTACAGTCTCATATTTTAAGAATACAAGAAGCAAGGTTTAAAAATGCAATCTCAATGAGCTGCTGTGAGATGAAGTCTTGCTTACCTGTTCTCATTACTAGCTGGTGTAGGGCACATCTCTCCTGGGGATATACTGAATGTGTCCAGACCATTTCGTCTAAAGAGCAACAAAAGGGTTTGATTTACATTCAGCCAACAAACTCTTATTCTCTGTGAGACAAACTCAGAAGTCATTCACACAAACACGATACATGTACTTTCTTTTTCTTCTGTAGATGCACCATATGTCATGACATGTACCTTGATTGATATTGCCATAATGTACTTACAATACAACTATTGTGACAACATTGAAGATGAATTGCACACTTTTCTACCTTTCTTTCATCTGTATAATTTGTTGATATTGTTCTTGCATGCTGTCACTAAAGATGGCTATCTGTGTCATGGAGATTGATTCACAACAAAACAGTCCCATCATTGATATAATGGATTAAACGAAAATTCACAACAGAACAGTTGAGTTCCACCAGTCTTACCTATGAGCCATGAACGGAGTCAAGTCTAGCTCCACAGGGAAGGACACAAATGTGCTGATCTTCCGCCGGAATTTTGTGGAGTGTTCAAATCTCTGTTGGGAAAAACATAATGCTAGTAAGGAAGGTCTGTGAGTTTGCCTTGCTTATTGCTGGATCAGGCAGAAGATATCACCAAGACAACTCTATAATATGTCTTTTTTTCAGGTCTGCAAACATAAATAGTAATGAGGGGAATGTAAGAATATATCAACAAGAAACTCATTAATATGTAGTCAACTAGATGTTCATATAACTTGCTAATAATAACTGTAACAGATTAACAGTACAATCCCATTATTTTAGATCATTGTGGATCAAAATGTTAGGTAGGGACTAGATAACCGTATTGTTGGGTTGTGTTGGGGGACCATTTTGTCTTTAAAATACCTTAAGGTGAAAGCAGGCTACAACAGGTAGTTTCTTCATGGTGAGCTGCTTAGTCGACTCCTGGTAGCTGTGGCAATGACTACACTTGATCTTGGCACTGGAGCCTAGATGCTCAGGCCGAGTAAATCTGCAAAACACAAAACATACATGGTTCAACTTCCAGTCATTAAATCCATTCACTTACATGATATGGGCAAGAAGCTTATTCTGGTATTTTCCTCAAATGAAGACAAGAATAAAGCAAGAGTTGAAAGAAACGCAGTACATTTAAACAGTATTATCGCAACATAATAACAATCCCCACAAATCAGTTATACATTGTCAACAGTATTACAAGAAATGAAACACCACATTGTGCACTTTGGTCATTTACTGATGTGTTGCAAAACCTACCTTTTCAAGCAATCTGTCAATGAGGTAGATGTGTAGGAGATACCATTTGTAATGGCACTAGCACCTGCTGTCAACAAGAGAAAAACAACAATAAATTGTAATTATCAACATTCAAATAAACAACAGCACTCATATGTTTTGCTTAGCCACTGATAGACACTGATACATGAATTAAAGAAAGCCATTTTTCCTCAAAGTTTCAACCTGCAATTTGTGCAAACAAAGAAAATGTTGCAGAATGCACATTCTCATGTGCTGTCTACAGGAACCAAATCCTGATAAGGTCTTTCTCCAAACAGAAACTATTACATATACATGTATCTAAAATACATAATTTAAGATTGAAAGAAATACTCCTTCCAGAGACAGTACAGAAGAATGGCAAACTCCTGCCTACCCGTCAGAAACCCTGCAGTCAGTATATCCTGAGAGTCTGCCTGGGCTATACTGGTTCCCAAGTCCAGGGAGATGTCCCAGAACGGGTCCACTGTTGTTGACACACCTCTGTCAACACAGAAAGGTCAGGTACATGGAGTTTCTGTCAACAATTCGTCAGGGCCTTGATACTATGACTTCATTTCTTTTCTTGGGGACCATGACTTTGTGATTGGACAGGAAATAAGGTTTTTTGCAGTGTCTTAAGTTTGCAGTTGAAACAATTCTACAGTACACTAATGATGCCATGGAAACACACATTTGCTGTGTCATGATTTTGTAGTGAACTCAGTTTACCATAAAAACTGCAAAAATAAAACATCTGCAAAAATTTCAAGATTTACATTAACTGTACAGAACCATTGTAAGGGCAGGCACTTACAGATATACTATAGTATTACTAATAATCCAAACCCAACAAGTTGCTCTGCTACTTAATTTGTTCTGGAAAAAAGTCAGAAAAACTTACAGGCATGCCTGACATGTCACATCTGACTGAAGACCTCCAGTGAAGACCTGGTCAATGATACAGTTGCAGTGGTGGGGGTTGTGGTGGTTAGAGTGGTCTGTGTCACCTGGAAAAACACATCATAATCAGTAACCTGTAACAGGGGATAACCCCTGGATCCCCCCACCCCATTCCTGAAAGTAGTCTGGTATACGCATGTAGTCCCACTGTGCAGTACTGTGGTATAGACCACCATGAGTAACAGCTGCTAACACAGACACAAACAGAAGGAGACATCTCCTTGCCCACAGGTAATTATAAGTAGAATATAGCAGAAAGCAACAGCTGTGTGGTACCTTTACAATGTCTGTGTAGAACGTCTAGGGCAGCGATGAAGAACTCATGTGCGTCTTGCTGCTCATAACCTGCCAGGTGCCGTGCATGTGTCCACACCAGGTGCAGCAGCTTGAACGGAACATGGGGGGAGCGACAACCTGAGTAAAACTGGGAGGGGGGGGTGAAAGAAAGACAAGTTAAGGAATGGGTATGGACACTGATAATGCCATATTAACTACTAGTGAGTGCTAGTCAAATTAAATGGTTATACCATTGGCTGAAATAAAGACATCAGATATCATGAAAATAGGCGTGAAGATAAGTCCAACTCCAAGGGAAATAATCTACCAACAGTCACATACTATTTGCCAGAAATTTTGCAATAATATAATCTTACAATCCTGTACATCACATGCAGTCTTGCTGATATTTCAGGACAGCAGAAATGGGAAGCCCAGGCAAATGAGAACACTCATTGTCATGTTCAACATGACCTGCAGATGATTGTGTCACCTGGTCTTTTATTGCTGCAGATAATAGTACCTGACTTCACATTCAACTTTCATTTCAATTTGGCATTATCAAAATAAACATAATGGGAAAAATCCTCCAGAATGTTCAACATGTCATAGATTTTGGACCAAAATCTCTTTCCTTGAATGCCAAGTACATTGTCACAGGGCAGATTATAAAAAACATTTAATTAATATATGACGCAACACAGGGCTCAACATGCTTTTTTCTGCACAGATAGAGGATACATTGAAAATTACATGGATCTGTCAAAGTTTTATAACAGTCAGGAATACCTGTACAAGATAGACATCAGAAATACACAAACCTGCAAATGCGGGTAGTATTTAAGCCCTGCCAAGATTTTGAATTATTTCTGACTACATTTTTTTGTGTTTCTAAATCCGAGACGGTACCTCCTGAAAGAGCCTGGACATCTCACAGACAAGACAGTGGTTCTGACTCTGGATCATCAGACACTCGTGTTTGTCTGACAGGAAGAAGTCCCGCAGGAAGGGGGTGTGCATCAGGGCTTGGACTATGCAGTTCATGAAGCAGGTATTGCCTAGGTTGATCAGGCCACGCAGACCTGGATAGAGTCAACAACATACAAATTAGGTGCAAAATATACATGAATACTAGTAGCAATCATAGTCCCAATGAACAAGATTCACCAGCAAACTACAAGCGCTTCCTACATTTTGTGTATAGCAATGTAATTTACCCTTTTCGTGCTGGCTTGAAAAAAGAGAAACATTGTACCAAAAGCTTCAAATTAAAGTCATATTTTAACAGCTGAAAGCATTGAGTACTATATAAGTAAATGCTGACCTATTGTAGAGTTGTGTGTGATCTTCCTTCTCTTAGGGTTGTGTTGTAGCAGGTTGAGCTCATTGGAGGATGGCTGCCATGCCACTGTGCCATTGGCATGAGTACCTGGAAAATATGCAGTAACTATTAACTCCATGGGAACCTTGAACATAATAAATACAACTACTATTATGCTGAGGTAAGTTGCAAAAGTGATATCTGATCCATTAGGGCCTGAGATTATGCAGTATTAAAGGCTATTAACAATATTATTGGCATCAACAATGTTAAAACACTTGAATGTATAGCACAATTTTTCAATGCTAGATAATAAGTGCTAGAGTACAAACATTGCAACAGAAAACATTTTAGCCTAAAATCAATCATCCTAAGATGAAAAAGCAAAATACATGCACTAAACCACAAGTATGTTGGGATTACTAATAGATATCATACATCAATATATGACACATCATAACGCAATATTGGTGTCTATGGCAAGGTCATCGGGGACTTGTGCTTTTATACATCTAAAGAATCTCATTAGTACAGCTCTACTTCAAACGGCTGCCTGTATCCAATTAAATCAGTGCTGGAAACAGTGGCAATAATCATACATTGTGACCTTGGCCTTCAATTTCAATTTTGACAAAGATTAATACCACGCCCAATTCTATGATATTACAGGAGCACACTTCAGTCATATTGGATCCCTCTCAGCACACAATAAACGCAGAGGAATTATTATTCATGGCAGAGCATCTTGAAGGACATACAAAAGGTTGAGACTAGGCCCTGTGTTGCATATTTTGTACATACAAAAAATGCCATGCACCAGAATGTAACAACACATATCTTATGTTAGCCTCAAGTTTTTTTAATACATCATAGTTTTGATTAATGTAACTTAAAAAAAGATAGATACAGGGCCAAATATTCCAACCCAAACCATGTTGGTGAAGATCTGTCAATATTTCTGCTCCTACATCAACCATCAGGCAAAATTCTGTCCACTCCTCCCAGCAGATAAATTAAATCAGGGATCCCAAAACACCACATACATGCTGATGTCATCAACAAGTGGCACAAAATGGTTTCCTCCACTTGAATACGAAGCCCTTCCATTACTACAGCAAATTATGTAGTTTGCATGACTGCCAGTGATTGCGACTATCATGCACTGAGCATAATGGCCTCCATAATTGTCCCAAATATAATCTGCAACTACAGTACAGTGATTCTCACCCATAATTGGTAATAGAGTGATTTCATGGGTCAAGAAAGCCTCTTGTCAAGTACAACAGGTCAAAATGCAATCTCTACTTCACAATTGATATAATCTTGCTCCATAGGCTGTCCTAATCCTATTTCTAGTTATCAGTGACCACACAGCTAGCTTTTCTCCAAGGAAAACATAACAGAAATAATATTATAGAAAATTCATTAATTCTCAACACAATTGTAGAAATGGTATTATATCTTTATCAGATTATACATGTACATGTATTATGATATTCATCCATGTTTATCTCTACTGTAATTATGACATAAACATACCTAGTACATCTACCCACTGCTAAGTCAGGTTACGACGCCATAAAAAAGGTAATCTAATCATTATCATTAAAAAGGCTTTGTAAGAGGAAAAATAACAGGGTCATCTGCCCAGGGCCCAGGATGAACCACCTGTTAGCACTACTGTAACAGCTCTAGCCTGGCAGTACTGATTCCACACACATTTCACCAGGTTGGCTTCATTCACAGGGTATCAACATTCTACCCCAGCAACAAGTCTGCTCTGGGGAAATTTCCACACCATGAATATTCAGATGTGAGTGGGGTTGGTTTGTTATCGCAATTCATGGCCTCATCTCACTGTAATTTCACTCATTTATTTGACATCCACCTTTTAGGATTCTAAACCTAAAGTACCTTATTATACGTAATAAGTAAACCATATTGTAATGGTTGGCATTTGGGT